TCTTTTCTAGTGTATAGATTATGATTTCAAGAACTTACAGGATCCAACTTATTATGTATTATTAGCTTACGTGCAACACGTTGATGCAACTATAGACAAAATTTTAAACGCCTTGCAAAAGATGCACCGTTTCGATGTGATTAATCAAATAAAGGATAACATTACCGATTTAATTGATGCAATTCCATCAAACTCTTCGGCTGATGGTATTTTAGAAACTATCGCACAGCATATAGAAATGCTATGTATCTTTTCCCTGTTAATAATTATACGTTTTGCTGCTTACATAGAATCTGCTATACTTCGATCAAAGAGTATACCAAGAGCACCGTTAGTTTTAACTCCGATAGAAATTGTACAGAAAATGCAAAACGTAGGAGACAACTCTGGATACATTTTGCAAGGTAATTTACAAAAGGTATCGTAGAGTGTTTAATGTATAATACATATCTCGAGGTTGTGATTGTAGTACAAGATATTAAATTTTTTTTGTTCACCTTATACATAGACAAAACAGGCATATGGATGCATAGTTATGCTAACATTTGCCGATGATGGTTTAACAACGGCGCAACGTATAGCAAAAATATTTAGATCTAAACAGCCTAAAATCGGAGTAGTCATACTTCAAGAACAAGAACACTATGTATACAGCAGAGCAGAAGAGTTTATAGACGATTGTTTTAGACAAGTAATTCCATTTGCATCTGAATACAATGCAAGATTTACCGATACCTTTCGATGTAACTATTTATTACTTCCAGGTGAACTTCATCGTACCAATATTAACGCAAGGATATTTGGAAAGAATACATAATCCTCACCAAACGTATAGCGAAGATCAAAATAAACTGGACGCCAAGTATATAAAATATATATATTCTTTGTTAAGATATGAATATGTGAGAAGTCAATGTATAAATTGTCGTGTAAGGTGCGTTTTTTGATTACATCTTACTGCTTCTATTTTGCATATTTAACGATAATTCTAAGATCTTTTTAATAGGTGTATAGTTTCCGATAAAGAAGTATATGCAGTTGCAAAATCAAATTTACACCCAACATTGCAAGCATGGTTCAGGGAAAGCGATATCGACGCATTCGTCGAAAACATTCTGTTACGAAAGTCCTCGCGGTGAAAATTTATAACGAGCACAGAAATAAAAAATTGTAACAGTTTCTATATAAAGAACAATAAAGTCTCTTATATGCGTTTGTGTATATATTCCTCTAACTCGTGTACTTACCGATTTATAAAATATTCTCCGTAAGAATCTGCATTGTTTATCTCATCCGATGTATGTTCAGAAATATAATAATATAATTTTAATGTTTCCGTGGATTCCTTTTTCGATAATATTTCACCTTTTGCAGTGACGAAAATGTGTCCATCGAAATCATTAAAACATTTCGACGAATCCAATAGTTTATATGGGAAAGCAAGGTCAAAGACTACATTTCCACGTTCCCCGTGAACCCATTGCGCTCCTAATTCTACAACATTATCCGCTGAAAGTACAAAAATATAATAACTTTGTATAACTATGTTGTACATCCTATATTATTTTTCATAGTATACAAACAATTGCAATAGTGATTTTTTGAGAAATCTTAGATGTAAAGACAAGCGTTTACAAAATTCAAAAGTAAACTTACAAAATTCTACCGTATGTATTCTGCCACCAATCCGATTTTTTCCTTCAAGAATTATTACGTTTTCCAAACCCGCTTCTATCAATCTAGCTGCTGCAGCAATACCTGCAGCTCCAGCTCCAATAATTATTACTTTTGGTCTGTTAAACATTACTTCGTTTTAACGCGTAACAATCTAGTATGTTCGTGACAATGACATTCAGAGATATGATATCTTTGTAATTTAAATTTATACGAAATATTCAGATAACCATGTCTTGCCAATTGTTATAATCAGTCCCTCACGACTCACGACCACTCACACGGCAGTCACGACTGGTTACGACACGACGCTAAACGCAACGACACCCTGAAGTAAACTTTCCAAGATATCCGAATATAATTTATGATATATGAAGAAGGGAACTGAAGAGGGAAATTATAGAGAAACATTCATAAAACACTAAACAAGGAATATATATTATAAAACGATATTTATTAGATGAAATCTTAGCTCAACAACAGTTCAAAATAAATTTGACTTAGGTTAGAAACAGAGTTGGATGTGATTATTGATACCATTAATAAATGGATAATTGATTTTGCATGTTGTTCATTCCGTTGTTTTCTCGACTACCAAGTATCGTTTATTAACTTTGTAACGATGGCACAGAATAAAGAGAAACTTCCACGAAAAGTTAGTATCGTTGTGTAAAAAAGTAATTATTTCAGCTATAGTTATTATACTAGAATTGAAACATGTTTTATTGTACAGAGATACAGAAGAGACGAAGAGAAGGAGAGTCCTTTGGAAACAGATGACGCATACGTTCCTTATGTACCTGTTAAAGAACGCAAAAAACAACAACTAGCCAAGCTTGGTAAGCTTGGACAGCTAAAAGATGAAGCTGCTGTTGGAATTATTGGGAAAAGTAGTAGCGAAAATGAAAGAGACGATGCAGACGACGACGATGGACAAGTATGGGGAAGGAAATCCAATATTTCGCTGTTGGACCAGCACACCGAATTGAAAAAATTGGCAGAAGGTACAAGATATTTGTACAAATGTACATCTATAGTAGCATTTTGATAAAAGTATCGATGAAGTAATCCATAAAATTTTTCAGCCAAGAAAGAAAGCGCTATGGAGAAACAGTTGAAAGAAGAAGAGAAAATTCTTGAAAGCGTAGCAGAAAACAAAGCTTTAATGGGTGTGGCAGAATTGGCAAAGGGTATTCAGTACGAAGATCCGATAAAAACTAGTTGGCGACCTCCGAGGACAGTTCTCGCTTTAGGAGAAGCGAGGCACGACAGAGTTAGAAGGAAGCTCCGAATTTTGGTAGAAGGAGACGATGTTCCGCCACCGTTAAAAAGTTTTAAAGAAATGAAATTTCACAGAGGAATTTTAAACGGTTTAGAACAGAAAGGTATCGTCAAACCGACGCCTATCCAGATTCAAGGAATACCTACAGTGTTAGTATACGTTTAACGTACCGCTAATCGTTTCTTTGTACAATATAATGTTTTTGTCCAATTTTTTTTTTATACACGTTACAGGTTATCTGGTCGTGATATGATTGGCATTGCTTTTACTGGTAGTGGAAAAACATTAGTGTTTGTATTACCTATCATAATGTTCTGCTTAGAGCAAGAAGTTGCTATGCCATTTGTAAGGAACGAAGGACCGTATGGTATAAATATTTGGTATATTTACATAAAGTAACAAAGATAAATATTGTGTAACGGGTGATGATATTCTTGCAGGTTTAATCATTTGTCCATCGCGAGAATTAGCAAAGCAAACGTATGATATCATTCGTCATTATACGAACAGTTTACGTCAAACAAATTGTCCCGAAATTCGTAGTTGTTTAGCCATCGGTGGCGTGCCTGTATCTGAATCATTAGAAGTGATTAACAAGTAGGTAGATTGTTAGTACTGTGATTGGTTTTTATTGCGTCGTATTATATAATTTGTTTGTTGGTTGTAGGGGTGTACATATCATGGTGGCAACTCCTGGACGATTAATGGATATGTTAGACAAAAAGATGGTAAAACTTAGCGTGTGTCGTTATCTTTGCATGGACGAAGCAGATCGCATGATCGACATGGGTTTCGAGGAGGATGTCCGAACGATTTTCTCGTTTTTCAGGGTAAACATACATTAGCAAAATGCTTTTAATATAATTATATGGGTGGTGTAGATTACGTATGGTGGTATATCGTTTACAGGGTCAGAGACAAACGTTGCTATTTTCTGCGACTATGCCGAAAAAGATACAAAATTTTGCTCGATCCGCTTTAGTAAAACCTGTCACGATAAACGTTGGTCGAGCAGGTGCTGCATCGATGAACGTAATACAAGAAGTTGAATACGTTAAGCAAGAAGCTAAGATCGTGTACCTTTTGGAGTGCTTACAAAAGACTCCTCCACCGGTACTTATATTTGCCGAGAAGAAACAAGACGTAGATGCTATTCACGAGTATCTATTGCTGAAAGGTGTTGAGGCAGTAGCGATACATGGTGGAAAAGGTATGTATAATACATACCTTTCTATCAAACGAATGCTTTTTCTTTAAGAGATTTCGGGTTGGATATTTCAATTGTTTTCTTACTTTGTTTCGTAGATCAGGAAGAGAGATCGCGTTCCGTGGAAGCGTTTCGCGAAGGTCGGAAGGATGTACTGGTGGCAACAGATGTCGCATCTAAGGGTCTTGACTTTGCTGATGTGCAACACGTTATAAACTACGACATGCCCGACGATGTGGAGAACTATGGTAATCTTACAACTACATCTAGTAAAACGGTTTGAATTAATTATTTAATCAATTGCAATTAACTAAGTAATAGGGTTTCTTGTACAGTACATAGAATTGGAAGAACTGGTCGTTCCGGTCGGACTGGAATAGCGACTACGTTCATTAATAAAGCAAACGATGAATCTGTGTTGCTCGATCTGAAACATTTACTTATGGAAGCGAAACAAAAAGTTCCACCGTTTTTGTTGGAGCTTTGCTCGGAAAATGAAAAGTATCTCAACTTGGGAGGTAAACTACTTCGTATTAGATTATTAAATATACAATGGATTTCTTTTCCTTCCATTAAAAACAGAGAATAAAAATATTTACTTGGTTACTTGATTTCAGACGAACGTGGATGCAGCTATTGCGGTGGCCTTGGTCACAGAATCACAGAGTGCCCTAAACTGGAAGCCATCCAAAATAAACAAGCATCTAATATCGGACGTCGCGATTATTTGGCCAGCAATGCTGCCGACTATTAAATCAGACATTTTCGATATCATTCTTCCAGCGTAATGTTGCAAGCCTTTTGTATATAAATCTTATGCATAAATTTTGTAAACTTATATCGATGAGAGGAAGGAATGTGTAAATAGTATCGTACAATTTCTATCAAAAACTGATAAATAAATAATACCGTGCTTTCACGGTTTCAAGATACTTTCACGTTTCTACTCTCGCGTTAGTTCCTTATTCTTAATCTAACGTTCTCTTGTTTGAAATCTTGATACGCGATGTTTTTGTCATCGCTACCGACGCAAGTTTCTCGCAACTAATGATAATAATTGAAAAAGTGAACATTTTTCAGCAGTATACTATTGCTATTACTCGATTAAATAAAATTTAAATAAAACGATGACACGAGAAAAGGACGGAGTGCGGAGTAACAAAAGCAACGAGAGTATTCAGGAACGAAAAGCCGTCGAGATGGAAAATCGTCGACGAGCATTGTTCAACAAAAGCGAAAATAAACAGCGTTTACGTCAAGCACATATCGAGCGCAAAGAGACGATAGAAGCAATCAAATTTCATCAAGCTAAAAAAGTCTTTGACGTGAAAATGAAACAATCTGAACGCGCACACCGATTAGCCCAAGAATTATCGCTCCGTAAACGTAAGCGTGTATAAAATACTTTTTCGCATCTCATTTGGAACTTTATATACATATAACTGAACCAAAGTCACGTTCTGTTCGCGTAGATTTTGAATTGGAAGAATTTTTCAAACGGAGGAGAACAGGCGATGCTGTATCGAGTGTTTCGAGTTGCAATGCGGAGGACATGGAAGTTAAATTAACCGAGAGGAGAAAACAAGAAGAGGAGGAGGGGAAAGATTCAAAGTTAAACAGCGTATGGCCCTATACCAACGACTTTGACTTCGTGAAACAAGAACGACAGAAAAAACTAAACTACAAAAGAGAATTACAAAATCAGATGATAGACAATTGCCGCAGGCATCGCGAGAGAGAGGAGGAAAAGCACCGTGAACGCAAACTATCGGAGGATATCGAAAAGGCACTGCGCGTAGAGGATCTAGAAGCAGAGAAACGGAAAAAGGATACCGCTTTTCTGTTGCAATTCGAAAGGGAAGCCTTCTCGAAGGCTCGACAGATTTGGAAAAACAAACGTAGGGAAATTCTCAGACGGGAATACGATGATATTTTACGTATGGTGGCTAAGAAGGAGGTTTTGCAAAAAAGTGAATTCGAGCAAAAGGTTGAAAAGAAATTAATCTATCGGAGTTGAACGTTGAGTTAAATATTGCATTCGTTCCTCTTCTAGACCGATACGGACGCGAAGAAGGATGCCGTAATAAAAACGCTAGCGATTAATATAAAGAACGAAGAATACAGAAAATTCGAACGGGAAGAAATTTACCATGAGTTATATCTGGCAGAGAAAGAAGATGATTTTTCGAATGAAGCACTCAAGCTGACTATGAAGAAAAAGCAAACGGCTAAACAACTTTTACAAGACATGGTAACGCGAGTTAACTTACGAATACGGGGTTCCATTCGAGTAATTATAAAAGAAAAAAATAGGCAATCGTTACTCTATTCCTTGCGAAAAACGTATTTAGAAACGCGTGCGTAAAATAATAGGCGAGGCACCAAAAAGCTGCTGCTGAGAGGAAAGCCAAAGAAGACGCAATCGATGCGGCTCTCGGTAGGTATCTGGCCGAGGAACGACGAAAGTTGGAGGAAAAGGAAAAGCGGAGGGAGCAAGTTCGCCGTGAGAAAAGTATGCAAGACGAATGTTCGAATTAGAATACTTTTGAATGCTTCTATAATGAAACATGCAATCTAACAATAATTGCGTAACATTTTACTTTCAGGTATGCGATACGGGAGCGAATTAAGAGAGATTATAACGAAGAATAGGATACGACATTCGCAAGATGACGCTCCGGGCCGATCCCCGTATCTGTAGCCGACTGAAACGGTGAGGTACGCGGAAGAGAGGAAGACGACGACGACTCGAAGCAGCGCAAAAGAAAAATGCAACGACAAATAATTTCAATGACTCACTAATCGAACAACGCTTCAACGCGAACAACGAACAATTCTATTTTTCTTTGTATTTTCTATGATAAGCAGAATATCGCATTAAATTCTCGAGTGTCTCGAAACTTTGATCAAGAGAATTATTTTTACGTCTATTTATTGGTATACAGATATATACATATACATATTTAAATTGTGTATATGTATATATATACAATGGTGCGCAAGAGGCCGATGCTCTCGTGGTTCTCGTTATTTGTACAAAGTCCGTGTAAAAATACAGCAGTCCTATGTTGTGTGTAGGATATAAGTAGGTACGCGATAAATTAACAGAGTCTTGCCTCGGGCGTGTACAGCGTTGAAAAATCAAGTGGGAACTTTAGCATTGATCGATCTTCTTTGTTCCATGGATCGGATTTTTCTTGTCAGCCGAGGCAATCCTCAAGCGATCTCCTTCTACGTTTTACCCCTTCCATTTGCAACAATTTCACCAGAGACGTACGATATGACGATTTTTTCGATTTAGTTTAACGGACAGAGAAGGGGCTCGAGTAGAGAAACAAGGTGCACCTATTCTGGTGTTAAGAATATGTTTACGTATGTATAATGTATATGTAAGTACGAACGTTAGTTTTCTTAGTTAACGGCTAGTCGTTATAGTTACTTACGAACTAAAATTAATCGTGGTTAATCGTGTCACGATGATAATCGGAAAAATGAATGTCTATCGCTGAAACGGTATACACCCTTGGAAACGATAACATTTTAAAATAGATATACTTGTAGATTCGCGAAACATATTCCTGAGATCGTGGAAAGAAGTTATTTTATCGTTCCCCCTCGAATCTTCTAGATAGATCGTTAACTTTAAATTGGATATGCGATAAGTTAAGTTTAATACTAGAATTTTGTATACCTAATACTATGTGGAACCTGTACATCTTCACTCGTCGACGTGTTTCTCTCGACGAACGTGGCTCTCGCTCTTAGCCATCTCAACTAAACCATCTATCGAAAACATTTCGGAGTGTCGAGAACGAATCAGACGAGGATGGTCGGTCGACACGACACCACTGGCTCAGAACCGGTCAATATCTTTGACTTCGTAATTTAACACAGATCGACCTTAAAAGTAAAATCACATTTCCTTACGCAACTCATTCGCCTGTGTTAAGTCGACATCGACAAAATTGTTTCGCTCGCGTAATAATAAAATCACATATTCTTGCGGTTCAAGTACTCGTACACGCGTATGTAAATACACGAGCAACCAATTATTTTGTCATTTTATTACTACGTTTTATTCGTTTAGTTTAAATAGAAATGGGCAAACGTGAACATTTCTTCGAGTACCTACATATATATATATATATATATATATATATATAGTATATACATTGGATTCTTTCAATTGCCGACATACTTGTCACATGTAGCCACGCACGCGCTTGTATATGGAGATCAAAGTATGAATACATCGCGTACATGTATTCAACTTTCTGTTAAACGTTAATTTTGTTGGAGTATTTATAGCAAAACCGTTATTACTTGTGACAACTTGAGAGGAAGTTTGCCCACCTCTGTCTCCTAATCGCATCGAATTTCATCGACTGTGAACAAGGTTTCAAAATCTACCGTTAGCTTTGTTCGCCGAATATTTATCACTTTTCGTCGATGAAACTACGTATTTGTCGCACATCTTTTTTACCGTTCGAAGCATTTTCTTTCAAGAGTTTAATATCGACGACACACAGAAGCGCTTTCTAACACATCGTTCTTGTGAGTCCTTGGCATGTTTCGTAAAACTTTCTTTGTTTTTTACCATGCATGAAATTGTAAGCGTCGATCGATGTGGGATCTTCGGTGAAGCATTAAAATAGGAAAAGAAGTTTGCGAACTTTGCGAACGAATCCAAGAGTCTTGCGTATTTTTACAAAAAATTGATCGCCGCGTAAATAACAAAATATATATGTTTACGCGCGCGCACACACACAATCGCGAACGAAAGGAACATAATCTCAATAATTGCACGCAAGAAACACGTAGAGCGATAAATGGGGGGAATGTTTCATGGACGCAAAATATTTCAATGGAGTAAGCGTATACATTAATAGCACCGCACAGCAATCATAGACTATTTCGGTACAATTAATTAATCATCTTATTCAGTTTCGATACTTGCTGTTTATCTAACGATCTATAATTCGACGGGGGAATAAAATTCACGGAAACCTAGTAACGTGTCGCTAATTCTCGTATATTTGTACAGTCTCAAAAATATAAATAGTTTAACGAGTTCATCGCCATCATCACCGTCATGGTTATCACAACCATCATAGTTATCATTATCATCATCATCATCATCATCATCATCATCATTATCACGATCGTCATCGTCGTCGTCGTAACCGTCGCCATCGCCGGCATCGTCATCATTATCATTATCATCATCATCGCTTACGCACTGGAAATGCAAATAATCCGGCAAGGATTACACTGCGATTAGGAGTTGCCGGGCATAGGAACCATGAGAACAGCATATGAGATAAACAGCAAGTCCAGGCAAAGTATCGAAGCGAAAATGATGATCGACAATAACTTTTTTAAAAAGTGAAAATCCCGAGGTAATTTTGTGTTTAAAATTTGTATGGTAAGAATGTATCGAAAAGAGACACTATGCGTTCCTTTTCGATAACGAGGAGTACGGTTCATCATTATTTAAATTGCCTGCAAACTTGCTGTTCCTCTCGCAACTATCATCGCCAGGGAAACAAAAAAAAGTTCTCTTCCAACAGTGAGATCCCTTTTCCGAGTTTCGTAGAGCGGTGTACAATATAATAGGCACGATGCAGCAGTAGGTTTAAGTGTTTCTTGTACCGTTGAAGGTACGGTAATAATCACGCTATAATTCGTCTCTCGCAATAATTGAAAGCTGATCGAAGAAAAAAAAAAATTAAAATTCCTTTTAAAAAAAAGAAACGTTCGTCGAGTCACCCTGGATAGAAGCCGCGATCGCAAACGAACCGGAACTTACACTTTGCAAGCGAAAAGTAAAATTTCACCGTGATTTGTTTGTTCGTTTGTCTGGTTTTATTTTCTTCTTTTTTCTTTAGATCGGTAGATTTGCGGTTTTGACGTATTCTTACGCTGTAAATATACGTGCAATCGTCGATGCGTAGTCTTTTAAATGTTGAATTTGGCCCCTTATCTTTGGAAGAAAAATACTTGGCTTAGATGTGTGAAACTAGCACTGGTATGTATGACACGATGCTGCTCGCCGAAGCACATTCCTCCATAAAACGTGGTTCGTTACTGATTACACTATTCCAACCACATAGAAACGCAAGGGAGGGAGACCGTCGTTCGTTTGTCGAACGATACGTTATAGTAATATGTGTATAATACTAGGAAGACGTGAAAGAGAGAAAAAAGCGTACGCGATAGGTGTATACGTTTTGTTGGCCGCTAAGGCATATTCGTGAGCAAATAAATTCAACCACGGTAAAACGGAAGAAGCAGACTCTGGGTTAGGTAGATTTTGTCCCATTTTTAAAAGAAAAGACAACCAGCAACAGCCGCCATGTATCCGGCTGAATACGAAAAAACGGGCTGTAGTTGTTCTCCGACACCGATGTTCGTTCTCGGCGACAAAATGGGGCGTAAAACGTCCATTAGAGTTCTTTCGCGACTTCCTCGGACGGGATTTCTCGATGCAACGGCGGTTTTCGTTTGAGGCAAAAGTGATTCTTGCCCGACAAGGAGATATCCGGATGTGTCTGACCGTGGTCACGTGTCCGAGAATAGAAACTCACTCTCGGACAAGAGTACCTCGAGATCAGAAGGAACGGTATGAAGATCAGAATTGGCCGGGTCAGGTAAATCACCTGTACCGTTTCCGATTCCTGTAGGTGCTATTTGTCTGGCTCTACCGATTCTGACCCTATCCTTCTTCTTCGGGGTCCGCAGCAGAACGCCTGTCCTCGGAATCTTGGATCTGCCGTTAGCGAGGCTCGCGTTTGCCGGCTGAGTGCCGACCAATTGAGCAACCACCTTGTCCGACTTTCGTAATTTTACGCTAAATTTGAAGGGGGGGTTGTAAACCACTTGCAGCTTTGCCCTCTCTTTTCGCGGTTTGTTGCCAGCCGAGCTTTTTGTTTCTCTGGATTCAACGGGCCTTCTCGAGGCGACGATCTGTCTGGTTTGCGGTAACCTGGTCCCGGCACTCGTTAGTCCTACGGGAGTGGACTTGCTCTTCGGTAGCCCGGACGCGTTCGTTCTCGTCATTTCCGGTCGACATTGAGAAGACGCCAGCAGCCAGGAACGAACTTTGCTTTTAGGATCAGCGTTCGGCTCGGATTCTTTTTCGGCCTGAGTGGCCGAATAGTCGATCACTTCTTTTCTCTGTTGCTTCTTGCAACGCTTCCTTTTATCGTTGTCGCCGTTGGTGGGTGTGTTGCTAACGAAATTTTGTTTGTCTCGAGAAAGAGTCGCCGGGATAGTCTTTTTTCTTTTGTTTTCTTGAACAACGACGGTCGTCGGCTCGGCTGATCTCTTCCGGACCAACTCTTCACTGGGATTCGTCGATGTCTTCTTTGGCTGTGGCTGTGGCTGTGGCTGCGGCTGCGACTGCGGCTGCGGCTGCGGCTGCGGCTGCGATTGCGGTTGCGATTGCGATTGCGGTTGCGGTTGCGATTGCGGCTGTGGTTGCGATTGTTTCTTTTTTTTCTTCGATGCATCCTTTGGAAAAAAAAAGAACGATTCATAATACATTACGTAGTTACGATAAATCAACGGAACGATCGCAATCGGTCGGGCTGAATCAACAATTTGTATTCTCACCTTGGCAGAGTTTTCGCCTGCATTGCCGTGAGAGTCTTTATGCTTTCGATGTCTTCTCTTCTCTCGGACTTTTCTGCTAAGTGGAAGCTTGGCGCGTACAGCCGGCGGATGTACCGTGACTCCCTCCGCTCCCTCCGGCGGCAGACGAACCGTTTCCGTCGTCGAGCTGTGCATTATCGTGACCGACTTGAGCTTCAGATCCGGTCGTTTGCCCAGCATTCTCATGCTCGCCACCTAGGTTCCAGAAAAGAGTCGAGAAATATCGACGATACCAACTATCGGCCGGAATTCTATTGTTCGAGGTAGGTAAATACCAAGATAACGTAGGGGAGCGTTAGGAGCGTAACGATCATTGACGATTCAAATGAACTACGATGAGACACTAGGAATAACATCAACCAAACTAGCGGTTACCGATAATAGCTGCGAACTGTATCAACGCTGCGTCGACGAATAAATACACGTATCTATTATACTTTTGTCTTTCCCGTAACTTACTCTCTATACGTTTCCTCGACCGTTTCTGGCGCAAAAATTCGGATTGATAATAGCATAATAAATTGACTTATTCTAAACGAAGAAGAGGTTAAAACATGTACAAGATTGTACAAATAACGTATGCATGGTTGTATACGCAAATCGAAAAATCAACGGGACACGTACCAATAACAATACCGCTGCCAAAACGATCAAACCAGCCGCGTACCAATGGTCGATAATCCAGCGACGAAAAGTGGCAAGACTTTCGTCCGACAACAAGAGCTTCCTCAGAGTCGCTAACGGACCGCTTGGATCCACCTGTGCGCGATAAAAATGACCTAATAAATATTATGCAGACGGTAATTGTAAAATTGATTCCAAGTATCGTAGTACCTCTCGACACTTTTGGAAAACGTCACAATAACCGTTGTAGTCGTTACACGGTGTTCCTGGTTTCGAAAACATATCTGGAATATCGAACGGCGGAGAATTCCAGTCGAAGGATGACCTGTCGGAAGCGAACAATGATTTTATCGATACGATAAGAGATACTTGCATCGTCGAAATGTCTGTCAACGTACAAGCAAGGCTGACTCTCCCCGGGAAGACGACAACAGAGTTCACAAGCTTTCGTCGAAGGGTCATTTGGCCCCGGAATGCACTGACAAGATTCCAAACCATATGCAAGGCATATACTACCTGTACATTCCTGCAAAAGAACGAAACAAAGGATATCCGTGTTTGAGAAACTTTTGTAACTTGTAGTTGCCGGCGATTAGTAAGGCGTTGCATTATTTTCGTTATGAAAGAAGAAAAACCCAAGTCCCTTTTGTAAAAGAAAAATGTAGAAAAGTTTCGCATTCCCTAGTGGATGATGTACTTACTCCCATAAAGCAGACGAATTCGCGATTGCAGATCGTCTTGTTAGGCTTGTTGATAGAAGGAGGACAGTAGGGTGATCTACCGTCGCAGAAGCTCGCATCGCGGCATCCGTTGTCATCTCGGCATTTCTCTCCGAATCGTAAATTACACTCGGCGGTACAACACGGACCCTGCAGAAACGCGAAACGCGACACGTATTCGAGTTAAATTTGATTCGAGTTCCATTCGAAACACAGACTACAGATTACAGACGACAGAAGACACTCGACGAATCGTTTCCGCATACCTGACTAGGACTGCACACGGATCTTGGCGTAAGAGTACACGGAGTTTCACCCGCCGGTGGATATCGACGTTGCGGAAAGCAACACGAGTCCCTGCAATCTTCTTCCCATCCGCAGTCGCATTCTTCGCCTTCTTCGACAACGCCATTTCCGCACAACGACACTTGCGGTTCTGTCGACACACAATCGAGTCGTTTTCTTGGTTACAATTGGTTAATCGTACGACGTATATTTGGAACGCGTAAAAATAACGAAGGAAAGACTGACCGGTGAAGCAACCCTTCGGCGAACGAGCTTTGCTATTCAAAACCGGATTAATGGCCGTCAAGCTGCAGGGGCTGAAACGATTATTGTTACGCTTGTCGCCACTGGTGGCACGAGCAAACATAATGAAGTTTCCATCCTCTCCACCGGGCGTGCATTGTTCCGGATCGTGCTGTAACAAAGTAAAGCGGCAGTTAATAAATGGGTTACGCATATATCGACAGTGTCTCGAGGTTTCGCGTAAAATGCGCGGTTCTGAAGGAAATAAAAGTCCGCGGGGAAGGTAAATGAAAGGGGCAACCTACCGGTGAACCAAAGTTATGACCGATCTCGTGGGCCAACGTCACGTGAGAAACTGCAGGCGGCACATGCTTGCCGTAGTTGAGCAGAGTCACTATTCCGGTGTTCAACGACTTCATGCTGCCGCGATAGTGCTGCAATATTTAGTCGTACGTTTTAGTCTCCAGTTCCCTCTTAATTTCAGGGATTCTTTTCTCTGACAATGAGTCGTTAACACGATCGACGCCGCGTAGCGTTCGCTTCGTTTTAACCTCTCGTCGAGTTGTCCGATGAAATACCGAGCAGCATTAATTTCCAATCGTAAGTAAAACTTACGCCATTTTTTTCGCAAACTCCGCCAGCATTTTTCAAATCACCGGTCCAAGCTAGGCCCAACGTTCCCATCTCAAAGTCCCTGTACGTAAACATGTAAGCCAAGCAGAACGCGTCGTAGTCTTCCTCTGCAACAAACGAACAGGCGTTTCGAATTATCCGATCGTCAGGTTTACGAACAATTACGAAGAAATGTATTATATTTACCAGAAAAGAGTTCCAGATACTTTTCCACACCATAGTTCCCTGGAAATCGATAATTGGGATCTCTGAGAGCGTCCTCGCTGTGTACTTTGACGCGTTTTATCATAAAACTAATGTTGTCCGGTCTTCCGTCCTGATTGAAATCTGGAAAAAAAAAAAGAAAAAACGAAATCGAGTTCTGCAATTGGTCGATAAGACCAAAGTATCCGCGATTTACATAGCGATACTTAAATAAAGCACAATTTTAGATTTTCTTACTCGTGAATCGAATTTTCTATCGGGGAAAGTGTTTGGATAAAATCGTACCGGTATGCTTGTAAATGGAGTTGACCCTTTGCACGTGTCTAGTCATCACTTCGATGCAAGCCTCCTCCGTGCCGTATCGCGCGAAAAATTGATGGTCGGCTTGCAAGTAGAGCATGCAGGTGGTCTTCCGTGGATCCACGGTGGCACGTTTGTGCAAATGTCTCGCGATGCGATCTCCGTTGCTCGTTCTGGAACCAAACGGCAACAGTTGAACGTTTTTTTTACGCTCTCTCCATCTTTCAGTGTAAAAACTTTATTCTGCTATGATTACTATTGTACGCTCGAGAAACTTTAATCATATACATATGTATAGCCATTTTGATGGTTTTGCGAAACAAAACGAAACGAAACGATACGACAGATTTTGCTTCTTCGTTTTGATACGAAAAGAACTCACGTGTCTGTAGGTGGTGCATCGTTATTCTTCTCCAAAATTAAAACTCGTGCGCTGTTCTCCCTCGAGTAAAGAGCAACGTTTTCGCCGAGCAGAGGTTCGTAAAATGTCCGAGAATTGTTCTCGCGACTGTACTCTCTGAAAACGTTTGAAAAAACTATTTTAAAGCCAGTTTCGATTTTGACTCGAACGGCAACGATTCTGTAGGAACTCGTACGTCGCGCCTCGTTGGTTCGTTAGTAACCAATCGGCTGTTGGAGGTGACGAGATGATTTACTCACCTTCTCAGCGATTCTCGAAGAGTCCCACGGTGCAGTCGGTGACTGGCGCACGGCAGTGAACGCTGCGGAGTCAACACGTCCGAAGCACGATAAGCTATGCTGTGATAGGGCGGTGACGTATCCTCGTTTGTATTCAAGTATCTGCTCGTAGGCTCGATATAATATTCTTCGAATCTGGTAACGACGGTGCCGTCGAAGAGACCGTCATCCGTTACGATGCCCTGCACCGTGGCGGTCTCGTCTTCTATGAATCGAACCAAACAACAATTTACCGAGTGTATTAGCTTTTACATATACTTGGTAGTACTTGAGATTTTCATTCTAGTTGCGATACGTAATCCCTCGCCTTTGGAATCTTCCAAGCATCGTTTCTCGAGGATGTTAGCTAACTTGGTTTCGTCTGTTTCCGGCTGACCCGATAGGTTTCTCTTGTTCGAAAATTGTCTCCGTTAGGGAGAAGAGACAGATGGAAAGGACGATGGGAACGAAGCGAACTCGGAGAACAACGAGAAATGAGAAATGAGAAATGAGAAATGAGAAATGAGAAATGAGAAATGAGAAACGAGAAACGACCAACGATGGGAGGAGGTATTAATTTCCGTCATAGACGTCGCGTCGTCTTCGTCGAGAATTACATCGTTTCGACAATTTCATAATTTCCGGGACGCTTACTCGGGTGTTCGTCGAGCAAGAAACTGGGTCGTTGCAAACCGTAGAGAGTCGCGCATCTTTCGAACGGGACAAACTCGATCGCAACACTGGCAAAATAAAACAGCTGTGACGACTTGACCGACACGCGCGACGTTAACGGAATTAACTCGAGTCGAAACAAAAACGAGACGTATGTATTTCTATTTTTATTTCTATCGTTAAACGGTTTACGACGCAAACTTGAGCAGCATCGAGTTGAACCGATTAATCGGCGGTTACGCGACTAGGAGGCAGAGCTGGAATTGAAACGACCGATGGAACGAACAACGAAGGAATTAGCGAAAAGCTTTCTCCGCTATCAAGTGTTTTAAATCCCTCGGCGGAAATCGCCGTGCACGGGGGGTAAATTCATCCTCGTACTAATCGATACCCTCCGACAAAGGAAACGATCGAACGAAAGGTTCCCCGGCTCAAACGTATCCACCCCCTGACGCGCAACTACGGACGGATGAGATTACCATTTAAGCGAGAATCGAACATTTGCCCGCGAATGTCCGTGGGATTCGATTCGGGTGGCATGTACGACGATCACCGTTCCGCGTTCTGCGCTTCGTACTCGATCGATGAGAAAATGGAGACAGAGTGTAGGATGTGAGCCAGTTTGGACGAGGAAACCGAGAAATCAACAGTTTCGAGGATAACTAACTCGAATCACACATATCAGAGATAAAATACGTTGGTCGTTGCAATGCGATGTCTCGGTGGTAACCTTGGAGCGTTTCGAATTTCAGGTTGTATTATCGGTGAGCTACGTTTTCGCTCGCGTTTAAATCAGCTGCAAACTTGACCAACGTAATCGTCCTATTTTCTCGGGGCCAAGCTTCGACTCGATATTCCGCTTCGCGCGGGCGGTAAGTACCTCCGGAAACCAATCCGCTTAATTCGGTTCAACTCGAAAAGAGAACGTGGACGAAAGAAAAGAGACCGATCGAATCGAATCGAATCGAATCGTATCGATAGATCAAGGGAGAAGCGGAGCGATTCTACTCGCTCGCTATTCGATACTCTATTTTGCAGCGGAAGCGCGAAAAAGAACCATCGGATGTCTTTCGTTTATGGCGAGTTGTATTAGCCGTTTTTCTTACCGACGCTGACGCGATCATCGTTTCCGTTCCGAAAGTACAAATATACATGCGTGCGCGTGTGCCACAAGTGTGACCGCGGTTCAACAAGTTACGCGAACGTTGTTGGGATATTTCGCTGTTTGAACACGAACGGAATGGGGTGGGGTGGGGTGGGGTGGGTTGTTGTTAGGGTGACTACACGATATTTTCGGACACTCGAGGAGAAACGTCGATCGCGAGGCGACGTCAACGTCGTCGTGTTCGCGATCAAGTTTCCAAGATTTGGCGAGGGTTGCGATTAGACCGCGAATCAACTGTTTCGGTGATCGAAATTCTATCGCAGGCTTCTCGTGCACCGCACCGTTCGGCAAGCGTATCTGCTCGATAGAAAGTTCTTGGGTAGCAACATTCTCGTGTAATCGGGGAGCCCGATACCGACCAACTCACGGATACGAGAGACTGATGGTCACGGCCACGGGAAGAAAATTCAGAGATATATGTATACGCGAATGTAAAGCAAACTCACCCAACACGGTGCCTACATAAGAGTGTGACGTGTCAAAAAGGATCGGTCCGTTGGTGCTCTCAAACGTCGCATCTTTGCTAAACAATTCCATGTCTCGAATCAAACGTAACGTCCACTGTCTGAAATAAAAACACATAGGTGCCGTTAAATCATCAGTTTGATTTTATGCGATCGGTAAAACCATTTTAGTATAATAGTAATTTCAAATTCGACGCGCAAAAATCCGATAACGCGAAGCCTGACACGAGAATGTATCGCGTCTGACTAGTCGGACGAAAACCATGCGTTAAGATCGCGACCCGTTGTTCCTCGCGATTCAGTCGATTGTTTCTCGCTGACCATGCTGCCGGATGATACATTCTCGAGACGATTAACCTTTATATTACGAGTTTTCTCGAAAGTCAACAGCGTGACGGTGCAACAGGGCGTTAAGTCGAAGGACGAAACCAAGCAAACGACAACGTTAGCAGCGGATCAACGTCGCTCGAACAAGCCAGACGAGCCATATTAAATTTAGAAACGTGAAAGGATTCGAGTGTCCGCGTCCTCGTTCGAGGTTCGCGTTCGTGACGTGACGTGACGTGAGGTGACATTGAAACAGAGGATCGGATCAACCGCGATCGCGTATGCAACGCGACGTATAATCCCGGATTCGACAATAAATGGATTAGGTTTAATTAAATTCGCGGTAGCAGGATTACGAGAAAATATTTTAATTTTGTTCCGCTATTCGACGAATCTGCACTGCATCTATTCCAGGGAACGAAAAAGAAAAAAGAAAAGTAACGATGAGTCTTATTCTCAGAACTCGGACAATTTTCGTTTCGCAACCTCTATTCGATTCGAAACGTTTTCCTATCTGTGGTTACGATTCGACGATTGGACAAATAATTGAAAATGGATCGCGTTAAATCATCTCGCAGATTGACTCGGATTTGCAACCTTCGAATAACTCACGAACTCGAATCTGGCCGTCTTTTGGAAATCCATTCGCGCTACACAGCTTGGTCGATATTTGTCGGTAATGTTGGCCGAACAGCGCGCTGGATTTCTCAGAAAAGTTATACGACAAGTTGCGACACACGCGGTGAATCCCGTCTAACGAATCCAATAACTAGGGCTTACGAGAACACCATTTTCTTATGGCAAAAACAACAATCTAATAAATACCGTTTATTTACTTGTCGTACACGATCCGCGAGCAACAACGGACAATGCGATGTCCGACGCCGACGCGACTTGTCGCTCGCATCCACCATTTGCACGAGGCGCGCCTTATCCCTTTTTCCTTTTGCCATTCTCTTTGCCGGTTCGTGGCAGATGTAGCAGGCTGGAAACACCGACAACGGGCGAGAAAAGTGTAACGTAAAATGATGCAACGGGAACAAAAAGAAGAAGAGAGAGAAGAATAGGAGAGCAACCATCGAGGACGAAACGAACAGTCAAACCTACCTATATCTATCGTTGCTTTACATTTTATTACTTGTTGCGAATTCAACTAATTTGCATAAAGAGACAAAGATAACACGTCTTCGACGACGACGTGACTCGCGGTGACGCGATCAAGTGAATCGTTTGCGATTCGCGTATCGAGGAGGAATTGGTCATCGTGGCAACCGGTACGAACGAATTCTTGCGGCGCTACACGGCGTCCGCAGACCCGAGGACGCTGAGGTATCGTCTGGTTCGTCGTCCGTGGCTTCGCGGCTCAACACCGGTCCGATTTGCTGCGAATAGAGAGACGCGAGAGATGCGTGCGTTTTACTCGTCGCCTTATAAGGCCTCGAAACGTTCGATCAAATTGACAAACGAAAGGCACGTTTGGTTCCTCTCGTGTCCTCGATCGTTCGATTTCGATTAAGAATGATACAAGGACTCCAGTGAATAGATTTCATCGATTGTTCTAAATTCTAAACGATCGGCGAACGGCTAGTCGATCGTTTTACACAGAGACGATAGATCGAAACGCGTACGAGTCCTGTGTAACTGTTAACTTATTCGCACGTCTACGACCCTTTGCACCCGCGATACCTACGCGCAACGAGACAATTGTGCACAAACTTGACCTTCATTGGATCGAGACCTATCGACCTAACCAAACAATACCGTGCGACTACTGATACGATTACGACAACTTCGATGCACCACTGGATGAATGTCTTCGTTAAAGCGCAAACCTTGAAATTATTTCATTGATTAATTTCGTTAAAAGCGCGATTAGACGTCGTCGCGCTAGTCCAACAGATTTCTACTTGTTATTTTCCAATCAATTTTCTTTCGCGATACTCGCGTTCTATTACATACTCGATATTTCTCGCTAAACCTTTTTTCCGTTTTTACCGTCTACTTTTCCGTACGGTGCGTTATAGTTACGTTACTATAAGCTCGTTACAAGCTCGCTGGAAAAAAAGAAACGGTCGTGACTCGTTCGGCAATTCGTTAAACGATCCTTTAATACCCGTTTCGGGTCAATTTCTCCAACTAAAAAAAGAAAAAAAAAAAGGAATATGTCGTGACCAAACCATCCGGCCAATTATCCACACGGCGTGTCAGTGTCATCGCCATCGTCGCGATCGGAATCGCGCCTGGGCTGGCTAGTTTTGCTAGGACTCGAGAGATACTCACTTGTCGAGCGCTTTCAGGTGCAGCAGCAGGTGATCGTCGACGACGTCGGTGACATCGCGACGCATCCGATTACGACGTTGTCTCAAGGCCGCGGTATCGTAAGAGGCCACCTCGTAATACCCGATGTACGAGCCGTGAGTGATACCTGAAACACCGTTCCAATACGATTGGTATATCGTTTCGTTATACCAAACACATTGGAAAAGTCGAAAGAGTTTCTCATCTCGCATACAATTGGTCCCTCTTCGGTCGCCGAGTTCAGTCGAGTCGTGTCGTGTCAGAAAATATCGAATTGCGAGCGGATGCGGACCCGAACCCGGACCGCATACCTCGATTAACAGAGATCTGCTCACGCCTCTCCTCTTTTTCTCGCTACCATAGCGGTAGAATAGAATAGAATGGGACAAAGAGACGTACCACTTTGCGCCATTTCGAGGATCTTGCGAGATTCGAAAGAGCGTGGGCGGGGATAGACTTTCACTGTCGCGTCTGAAACAAATACCGGCGTATACCTACCGTACAAATTTCGCGAGACAATTTTTTCGTGAGCGGCACGCATCGAGTCGTGAGATGCGTGAAAAGTAATCTATTTCCCAGAGATAATTTCAACTATTATGTTTAATTTTAAACTTGGAATAAATCCTTTTTTCAGCGAAAATTTACGAGAATAATAATTGTTTTTCACGGTACAGGTGAACGCGTAACCGGCGTAACTGGGATTAGTAGGCATATGTATACGTGATGTTCGCTGTATTGGTGCGTGCGTGCATGCGTGCGTAATGTATAATTAGCGGCACCAAACGGATTCGAGCATCGAGAAAGAGAGGTAACGAGAGCGTTCCGTGTGCGACGCGAGTATCTAGCATCGTGTACTTACAATTAGACTATGTACCATTCAGGGTCGCGTTTCCATTGTTTCTCGGCAAGTACCATTCGAGAACAAAGAGGACGCTCGGGACAAAGCGTGGAATGTCGACTATTAAAGTAGATTTTCGCACCGGCAGCAGAGTTTAACGGCACCTTGCGACGCTTTCCGGACGCGTATCGTTGAGTTTGCAGGTTACGCAAGAACATCCGATAATCTAATTACCACGAGTCGTTATCGATGCCTCGGTCCGCGGCAATTTGCAACGCGCCTCATACCCTCTCGAACTAACGCTTTGCACCGAGAATTGGTAGCAATTGGTACCAGAGGCCGAGGCCTAGCAACGACGTTCAGGTGTCCTTACTCGGACACCTTGTGTATGCACCTTGTTCTGATGTCTATCCCACGCCCCGCACCGACTTTGACATTTCTATCCACCTAACGTTAGCGGACAACTTGATTGCAACTTGCTACGAAATAAATGAATCATGTTCTTCGGCAATTAACAAGAGACCAGTATTTGCTGTAAATGTATGGGAATCCAACATGACTCACCTGTGTGCGGTGGTGCGGAATGAAGAGGCGAAGCATTGACAACGGTGAAAAAGCAAGCAAACATCAGGAAGAAAATCAGGAGAGTTCCAAACGTAGAAAATCTCTTTAACGTCAATGGGTACATCGCAGCCTTCTTCGCCCCACTGTGTCCTCTTGTATCCTCCTTCTCTTCCGCCGCCTCTTCCTCGTCTTCGTCCTCGTTTTTGTCGTCTTTGTCGTCTTTGTCGTCGTCGTCGTCCCCGTCCCCGTCGTCCCCGTCGTCGTCGTCGTCGTCGTCGTCGTCGTCGTCCCCGTCGTCGTCGTCCCCGTCGTCGTCGTCTGCCCCTTCTCCGTCGATGACCAGAGCCGTAGTAGGCATCGGCACGACGTTCTCAGACCCAACAACAACTAATAGCGCTATCTGCCTCTCGATGAACAGCCGACCACCGCGCTTTGCAAGTCACCCGTCAGGTTCATCTTTCTTTCTTGCTCGTCCGCTCTCTCCTTCTTCCTTTGCGTCTTCCTTCTCCTCCTTCGACAAACGTGATTCCGCCACGTCCTCTTTCTTTCTTCTCCGTAACCCGCTCAACCTTCGACCCTTCCACGCTATCAGCTTTTTTTAATCGGCCCTCTACTCTTTTCGCTTTTCTTTCGATTCTCTCACCGATCGATTTCACCAGCTGAAAAAAAGATCAAAGAATGAATATCTGGATGCATCCTGTAACTGTTTCGGTTTGCGTGGGCAATTTCTCACGGGAACTAGGCCGGATTTGGTTTAAGTTTGAGTTGGGAAACTTGGAATTCGGCACCAAGGCCCGTTAAATAACGCGTAGCGTCGATAAAGTGACCCGATGCTAATAGAATAATTTCCAATGTCGCTCCAAGAAAACGTTAAGTATCGCATAAGCTGTTTAGATGTACCATACGAATACTACATATAAATCTTTGATCTACGTTTTTTCTTTGGTTACAAAGTTACTAATGTGTAATATAATATAACCACCCTTATGCAATGTCCGTCCGATAAGCGAGCGTTTAACGTTCGGTTTTCCCGTTAAACGATGATTACCTTTACGCGCCGGCGCCGTCGACTAGAGATTCAGAATAAAGGGTTCCAACGACGACCACGTGCTCGACAACGCGTATCGAGTGTGTACCGCCCGCACCGTCTCGTTATGCCAGGATCGTGTACGAATCATTTTTAATAATCATTTCTTTTTGCAACGACTAATCGACGATACGTAACACGCCTTAAACTCTCGCAAAGGTAATCCTCTGTTCCACCTTTCTTATGTTGGATGAATTTTTTTAGCAAAAAGCTTTCTCGCTAATGAATAATCGCACGTGTTTCCTCGAAGAGTAAACGTGTCCGAGAGATCATTTCCGTCGGACATCTCGCTGGCACTTGAAATACGTTTTACGTTTTACGTTTTACGTTTTCCGTGATATTTAAATCTACCGTGGTGCGCACGCAAGTCCAGCCTATGCACCATGTACTGTGCACCGATATACATGTATGTAGTATTGTATCATTGTTTGGTGTGGTATGGTTTGGTTTGGTTTGGTTTGGTTACCTCTGGCATGTTGTACGAAACAACATTTCACGAGTGCAGTTTGATACGTTACGTCTGAACAAATATCATGGTGGTGATGAAACGTGCTACGAGAATGGCAATTATATGTATGTGTATACTATACCATGTTTCGAATACTAATGGTGCGTTCCCAACGTGTACGGCAAATGTTCATCGAACATATAAAAATGTCCGTTGATGTGCCGTGTGCCAAATACACTGATCGACCTCGACGAATCTGTTTCACGAAACATAATTCGATTCGATCATTCCCTGATACGAGTTCGAGTTTAAACTGTCGATACAATTCTAATCACGATATTGACAATTATCAACCAGCACGCTATAAAATAGGACATCTCGTCGTTCTAAAGGATGAATAAATATACGTGTATATATATATGTACGTATACGCGTGTAACGTCAACAAGAGGTAACGATTCGACTTGCGTTCTCTACGAACAAACAAATTTCGTGTACCATAAACTAGCGTATGAGTTTTCTGTATGTCGTTTCCGGTTTCCGGTTTCCGGATCCGGGGACGTGCACACGAGTAACACCGGCCACCCTTATTTTTGTCGTCTATTCGAACGTATTCCGCACAGAAGAATGAATTGGTGTAAACGTACCCTGAGGTGACTCGAGCTCGGAGCTCAGAGATCGCTCGGAGATCGCTCGGAACAAGAGAGAAAGAGAGAGAAACCTGGCATCGTTCTCGGTCAGCTTACCATTCCCTTTGACAGTTGTACGAGTGGGAGAACGTATGTATAATGTATAGAGAAGAAGGACTTTGAGCAATGGGCTCGAGGAAAAAATGATGTACGTAAGTTGGTGCTTGATCGTGCGAACATTGCTGAAGAGTGATGGGACAGAAAGTAAAAAGAGGAAAGCGATGCTGCACGTAGAATATTACGCGTGCTTGCCGGACTCTTGCACTCGCATCAACTCGCATACTATCCGACTCCGACGCCTACCTATGCACAGCGAGAGAGGCTCGATTCTACCCACGGGCTGGCGTCCTTTCCGCCGGGATTTTCGTCCTTCCAACCGGTTCTCGTTCGATTACTCATTTATGCGGTCATCGTACCGCATTCTGTCGCACGACACCAAACTTTCCACGATATCGCACGCATGTGTCACGCAATCTGTTCCCTCTCGAAGGTGAACAAACAGAAAGTTCATAGCCGGACGGATAGATGGACAGAGACGAAAAGAAACCGCGGACGATACGATTCTTACATACAAACACGACAGGGACGTGTACCTGCGTTCCGCTTCGCGTCACACTGACGATTGACGAAAACACTCGTGTTCGTGTTCGTGTCGTGTCGTGTCGTGTCGTGTCGTGTCGTATCGTGTCGTATCGTGTCGTGTCGTGTCGTGTCGTGTCGCGTCGCGTCGCGTCGCGTCGCGTAAACCAAACCTCCGAGGACAACGACTTCCCTCACTAGGAGCGCCTTCGACTTCGACCCAGCTGTGCTGCTCCCTTCTGCGGCCGCCAAACGAACCCTCCTTCTTCGTTCGTTCTTATCGACTTGTTAGCGCGTTCTCTCTTCTCCCGCGGTGCGGTGATACCTACCCCACGGCTTGACGTGACTAGTGCTTTCCAATACTGGCACCTCCTTGTATATGTATATGTGTACATATACGCGCCATCGAATCCCGACAGTCCCGAGACACTGGCGCTAAACCCCTCTCTTTGACGTCCAATTGTGACGTCGAACTCCCACTTTTGTGTGTGTAACTTGACCTTAGCCGTCGGTAGAAGGCAAGGGGGTCGAAAGGTACACGTAATATATCGAATCCACGATTTTAGTTAGCACCAATTTGATAGGTAGCGCTAGTAGATCGCGAAACATACTTATCGTTAGCCTATCCATGATCTTGATCATCAACAAACACCGATATGGTTGGTTGGCCACAAATGAAATGTGTACAACACTGTTACGATATCTTTCGCCTTACTTTACGTATATTGCTACAATTGCGATTTAATTGTACAGCTACAAAGTGATGCTGGTAATAATCTCTGAAAAAAATAGAAAAATTGTACAGCTACCAAGTCTTCTTAGTTCAAATACCATTCTCTTAATCGGTATTAGTAGAGATAATCTAATAGAATGGGTGGGTCCAGAAAGGCCACCGGTTGCACCTTGGTAGTAGCCAGCCTATAGCTGAACTATAGTAATACTGATTTCGATACTAGTGGCGCCATCTGTGAGAAAAAGTTTAAGTTTCAAGTGGAAATAGTTTCCACTGTTGCCGCTAGATAACGCCATCAACTAAAGAGTCGATCATTATTGTTACATTGAATAACTATTTATAAAAATGAGAAATTTGACGTATTAACTAATATATTGTAGTGTTACAAAGTAAAGAATCGTATTAATTATGAGAAATAAAAATAATTGGTTAAAAGCTATCGGTGGCGCTATCTTACAGAAACAGTCACAACTATTTTGACTACAAACTTGGGCGTTTTTCCACCGACGACGCCACTGGTACCAAAACCAGTATTAGTATAGTTTAGTGAACGATAAAAAACTCCAAATGAAAAAGAAATACTTATTTGTAAAAAATTGGATTAAGGAAGATTTGTAGGTGGTAACCAGTTGGTATGATTTAGTCGAGTTAATTTCCGAAGGTGTCGGCTTCCGTACGATAACGATATGGTTGATCGGTTGAGGTTGATTGGGACATTGGGAGCAGTTGGGAGCAGTCGGGAGTGGGGAGAGGTATAACCTCACTTTACGTAGCGTTACCGTGAGCGTTACTTGACACGTAAACAAAATATAGATGGCAAAGTGAACAAGTTTCAACAAATGTTTTATAATTAACGATTATTAATCATGGTTAGTATTTCTCGGTACACTAATCGAGATTCGGTTTTATGTTAAAGCGATCGATATATCTTATTTTTTTACTTGTTCTGGATTTCAGGCTCGTTACTTTCGAGAAGAAGACATAGACGGTATGTTTATTTACAATTTAAAGTTTATCAAACTTGATTACTTTTTCCATGTATCTAGTACATTATTACAGAGTTCAGAGAATGTTTCTATTTGTTTGCGAGAAATGGACAAATACGTACCCTAGATGAACTTACGATCATTATGAGATCGTTAGGATTGAGTCCCACTATCGCTGAGTTAAATAAATATTTAAAAGATAAAGGTACGTTTACTCGAATCGAAATAACCGATAAGCGCGAAAGACGTTTAAATCTATCGACGTATGTGGATAGGTGGAAAAATGTCGTTTGCCGATTTTTTGGAGGTGATGCATCTACAAACAAGAGCCGAGGATTTACCAAAAGAAGTAATAGAAGCTTTCCAAGCCGCGGATAAGTCTCGAAACGGCACCGTACCTGCCCGCCAATTAGCTCACATGTTGCTTCGTTGGGGTGAACAACTGAGTAGCAAAGAAGGTTGTTATTGTAAAGTTAACTATTTGGAATTAACGAAACGAGGAATTACTTTCGATGATTAATTCACTCGTATATCTATATTACAGTGGAACAAATTTTTCGAGAGGCTAACGTGTCATCCAATGGCCAAGTTAAATACGAAGATTTTGTAAAAATAGCTTGCGCACCGGTTCCCGATTATTATTAGAGATCGATCATTTATATATCGTTGTAAAATGTTGATCAAGGACAGACATGTTTACAATAAAGGACTATTATCATAAAACAAAACCATGAGTTTTATTCGGAAATCGGTAAATTTTTAACGTAAACCTATCCTATTATACTCTTTAGTTTGAATTGTAAGGTACGTGTATTTGGTTGGTATGCACGCGTGCACACGAAATAAATATATGTATATGTATGTATATTCGTATACTATTTATAGAACGTTTAGCGCGTCACGTTAAAGGTATTTCTCCGTTTTTTTACGATACGAAAACGGAAGAGTAACAGAATATCTCTGTATTCTAAAATGCAAACTGACAGAGTATTAATGTTAATTAATTAATGAATTCGATTTGATTTGTCTATAAATGGTTTCGTTGCGTCGATCTTAGCCCTCTTTGGCGATATTTGTGGTCGGTGGTGAGCCACAAAGAATGACGGTGGTACTGACGATAGTCGTGAGGAAAAAAAGCCAGAGAAGCGCTCGATCGCTGACCAACGCGACCTGTTTCCAATCTAATTCCATTCTCTCACGACGATCCTGCTCGACGAGCCGACGCTCGTTCCTCTCGATCGTTGCGTGTACTCTTCCCAGAACGCGCGACCATTGAGCCTCGAGGCCACTCTCTTTGCCAACATCTGCGTAAATTTGATTTCAAATTTACAGACGAGTGGCATGTCGAACAGATTTTCGGTGGGTTCGATCGACAAGCAATTGATCAGACTAGCAAACTCTCACCTAAACTTGGACTGCTACCGTTGCTCTCTTCTCTTCTGTTCGTAAACTTTGGTGATGATTGCGATTCCACCACTTCCGGTTTACAGTGCAACGGACAATTGTTCTTTCTTCCTGGAGGCTCGACCGGTTGCGGTTCCTAACGGAAATTAGATTTGTTCGCACAGCTATCGAAGAAAGGAGCGAGTAGTTTCGCGATGGAATAGACTTTACCGATTTGTTCTCCTCTTGAAAGTTGAGGAGAACTAGTCTGGCGAGTTTGTCCAAGACCAAAGAACGAACGATGCCCGGCACTCTAGTTCCCCGAACTCCCCGATGGTGAACATTTAACGTGACCACCGCTAATCCTGAAGCGAACGAGACCAGGCATATACTGACACCGTAATAAAGACCTGGAAACGAGGAATAAAAGGTTCGTAGAACGGCCAGATGTTTAATGGTTAGTTGAAAATGTCCAGAGCTTCTCTATGGGCACTCTCCCAACGGGTGTTCCATAAGATAGCCTGGTACAGCGGTACTGGACTAAACGGACTAACAATAAATGCGATTCGATTCGGTACTATTGGCAACTGTTACCGAACGAACCATCGCGGCCATCACTTTGATTCTCACGACTTTGCTTCGTAGAGTTTCCGTTGCTCGAACCGAACATCTACTCACTTATCAGCGGTGTTTTCTCCGTGGGTGGCAGGGTCTCGCGAATCGTCATCAAGAAAACCGTCATGGAGAGAAGAGCTGAAATCCCGAGGGTGACTTTTTCCCCCGATTCCGATGGCACGTAGAATACCAACAGTGCTGAATAAACGAAGGAAACACCTGGCTGGATGAAAGTTTTCCGTTCCAAAGATTGTATCGTTCTTGTCATGGGAATATCAAACAGAAGGCATTGCGTTCTTGGCTCGCGTGAATCTTGAACGATTGCCGAGCGGAAAAAAAAGAAAGTTTCGTATTTTCTTGAGTTGAGAGGATTACTCGGTCCTCTTTCGTTAAACGGGTTTATTCGTATTCGTATTCGTATTCGTATTCGTAGCAATCGAGCAAAAGAACGTCGAATGCCATCGACGCTACACGAAATAAAAAGAGTCGTGTACGATAAATAGTAATAGTAACACTTACCGACGCCGTTGATGAGTATGCAAGGAAGGATCAAATTAAAGACGTAGAAGGTTGGACGACGACGCAGTCGGATCTCGTAGGTGATGTCCGGATAAGGTTCCGGACAGCACGAATAGTGCTCGACGTTTCTTCTCGCGGAGAAATCGAGCAGGTCGAATTCCCCGTTGGCTTGGTAATTGCTTACGTCTCCTTGCTCGCTTTGCCTCTCCAGTTCGAGCTGCGCAAGTTACATACGCATATCGACAAGCGATAAGGCTAAAGTTAAGGTTAATTGGTTGAAATGGTATCCGATGGGCACGTCAACAGAGACAGAGTTTAGATCTCGAGGAGATGACGATCGGGGAGGATAGATTTTTGGTGCGCGAGCTGAGCCAATATCGTATTTCCAGCGTTTTGACCGAGAAAAACGTAACGGTACGCAAAATGTATTCAACGACGGCGTACAGGAAATGGGAAAACTCTGTGAAAGAGATCTCTCGCGATCGCGGTGCAGAGCGGAGAAACGATTCGCTCGTATTCGACTCTTTTCGCATGCTAAAAGAGACTAAGCTGTTGGATTCGTTCGAACCATTTTCGCGACTCGGCGAGCCCTCTCTCGTATTTCCAATTTGCCGGTGCTAAGCGTTACCTTTTCAACGACGCGACGTCGGATAATCCGGTGAACGTTGTCTCGATACCGTCGTTTCGTCTCTGGATAATACTATTCAAGTATACGCGTATATCTTTTTATTAGCGTAACGGTTCCATTTTGTCTGTCTACCAAAGATCCGAGTTTACCGGGTAGGTACATACGAGATTCGTCGAGGTTCGGCACATCCAAGGTGAACTTTTAATTCAAGAGATCCGAAGGAAGCCAGAAAATATCGAGATTTTTAAGAGTAGGCGAGCACAATAACGAAAAGGACCGTGATATCGGATCGAACAGGAGCAATTTAATCCGAGGCTCCCGTTCTTTAAGAAATAGAGCTGAATTAACGACGACCATAAAATTGTTGTAAACGGTAGAAATATGATCGTTAACGTACCATCGCCAACTTTCAACGTTTCTCTGAAACTAAACTTTAATATTTTTTATCGTCCACCGTCGAAAACGTGGCGCGGCACGGCTCTCCGTTCGATATATCGCTCTTTGATTTGCATGAATCGTTCCGAGGGAGGAGTTGCGTGGAATCGAGGGCAACAAAACTGAAAATCTAGCCTAGATGCATGTCGCTCGCGCTACTAAATTAAATCGTATCTATGTATCGTGTACATTGTACGTTAAATGGCCGATAACGAACTTTTACATGGACAATTGCGAGTGTTGTAAGAAGAAGGTTGATCCGGTTAAATTTGCGCGGCAAAGGAATACGAGCTATACAACCATTTCTTCTTGCGCTGGTTTTGCAATGTTGAAAGAAGAGGAAAGGATATTGTACCGGATATCGTCGATTAATTTAACTTTAATACAGACTCGTAGGATTGAATCTCACTTGATATCCATCGTACGTCCACGAGGCCCATTTCAGTAGACACCGTTGCTCGTCGAAAGGGAAAAATTCTACGTCGATGTCGCAGCTGCTGCGAAAGATCCCGTGACTCAACCACAGCACGTCTCCCGTGTGGCTAACGATCACGTTAGTATTAATCACTGCCGAACTGTATTGCGGATCTGCGCTATAGAGAAATCGAGATGTAATCGGCGCGAATCTCTAGTGATAAATCGATTTTAAACGATTTTCTGGAAATGAAAATCGCTGCGTTTCTTCCTTCAAAGTTGTTCAACTTTCGCAACAAATAAGTATAGAATTTTCGCTACCGTCGCTAATTTCAAGTCAGTGGAAGTACAAGAACGATTTCTTTTCTTTTCTTTTCTTTTTGAATTTACTTGTTGTAGAGAATCGTGTCTGGTCTCCAAATACGATTGTAGGGCACGCGAATCACGCGAATTCCAGCAAACTCCGAGGCGTTCCATTTCAGATGATGATCCGTCCAGGACTGGGTGACCCAACAGTTGGTCGTGAGTATCTGGTTCTTCTCGTCCTAGGATGACAAATCAGAGAGCGAATAGCACGCAGAATGGAGCGAAAAAAAAGTAATATATATATATAAAATATATAAAATATATTCTATTATATTACGTCTACGTATCTGCATCTCTATTGCCAATGCAAGCTGTCCATATCTTGGACAAACCGAACGTTTTCATCGTTCGAGAACGGAACGGATCTACATAGTTCTCGCATCGTATCGAACGATTTCTGTTCAACCGATGCAATGTCCAATTTAACCGACCTTTATTTTCAGAAGAAAAAGATTCGAAACGTTTCCGATGCGACTCGTTTGGTCGGAAACCGTTTCGATTACGTAAATCTCGGAAATTTGCTATTTTGCCGACAAATCGTCGACAGCAACGAAACAGCGCTATTCGACTCGTTCCTTTTCCGAATCGTTGCTGCTCCAATACTCACGACATCGATTATATGATGAAGGGAAAGTCCAAAAACGACTGCCAACGGTTGAGAAGAATTTTTAGCTGGTCGTACACCGGCGTCGTATCCATCGAGGAGATGCTTCGTCAGTCTATATTCGTGTTCATCGGCGAAGCCTGCAAGGAAACCAACATCGACTTTATTTTTTTTTTAATTAATTCGATAACTTCTCTCCCAATTAGGAATTCGCTGGTAAAATTTCAACTAATTTACGCCAACCTACTGCAAATTCTCTGCTCTATCCTTTTCTCCCTCCTTCATATTGTTAATCAGAAATCTAATACCGGTGGCTGTATCAAAGGTACCCATCCGTTACAATGTTTCCGATCTGCACGTTGGTTGGGGTGAACGGTGTTCACCCCACCCAAGTGACCATTGTGTCTCGAAATGCGACCAAGCCCCGTCATTTTAGACCAGAGACCAGCTAATTCTTCTTCTTTCTTTTCACAGAGCTAACCAGCAGGCGATGCGCGATGCTTTCAAACTTGGATTAGATGAAAGATCTTTCAGTCAGGAGACAATAGCGCTAGTGAAAACAAGGGCCCGATAGTCGTTGTTTTGGTTAACGAAATCAAACGAAAAGTCTGCGAAAATTACAGAGAACCACTAATCCCTACGTATTTCCGCTTAAGAAAGAAATTAACGCCGGACATCATTCGCTACAAATATCCAACTTTTACCTATTAAAATTCTCGATTAGAATATTATATACATGTATTTATAGTTATTATTATTATTATTATTCGGTATTCCGTTCGACACGAATGTTCGATACAGCGCTAATATGTTACTTTCGACGATACACCTGTCGATCGATTAAAGCGGACCGTCCATAGTCCATATACATTTATATTTTGCTACCGATAATCCCCGAACAGTTTTTCCATTGGTCTTAAAATTCAGATTATGCATGTTTGATCATTTTAAACGCTAAAATGATATTCTGCTCGTGATGCAATGTAACGCGACGCAACGTTCGCGAAACAAGAAATAAATGTAAAAAACCACTGTTCGACTTTGCAGAAGAAGCACTTAAGCGTAACGCTCTTCCTGAAAAGTGGTGCAACGTTAATTCGCGCTTTCAAGACAATCGGACCGCAACGTTTTCCAACCGCGCGAAATTTGAGTCGGTACGCGACGCGTACATTTTTATCCCCATTTTAATTGTAAATCGTGGATATCTACTTACGATTTGCAATGCTCCCACCATGTACCATATCGAAATCTCTTTTACTACTACTAACAAAACATGTAAAACGTGCCACGAAAGATTTTCTCTTGGATAGGGAATTAAATCTGTGCGTCCGGAAGTATGTACATAGTTTCGATGGAGCTTATTATGACACCGCTATATCTCACTTTCCCGAAAGTGTGCCTTTTCAAATCGTCAACCAGCGCAGCGATTCGAATACTAATAATTACCAAACAAACATTTATACATTTTTCGTCGCGTACCTACGATTACAATAACGTTTCATGGCTCGGTAGTGAAAGAAAGAGCCATTCACCGTACGCAGTCCAACTCCTTGGTCTCGAGGAAAGTCGATAAAATCAAATTCGTGTGGTTGCGGTAAACTTTTTTTAGTCGCTTAACCACAACCGTGAAAATTTTCCAAGTCAGAAACTCATTTACAACTCAATCGGTTCTCGAGTAATTCTCGTCGAGGAAATCCTGTCGGGGCGCGCAATCCGGTTATCGAATAGACAGAAGAAATTGCTCTTAATCATTGCGAAGCTAGCCTCCTTAATAGGTAGTCTGTCGACTGGTTTTATTCGGATTATCTCGAATACGCACCAAACTCAAAAAATCCATTATTTCGGTAACCTATTAAAAGAGATATACATATATACATATATCTGTTTTTTTTTTTTTTTTTTTTTATACGTCAAATTAAAACATAACAAGTACAAACAGACTTGACAAACAGATAAAACCGACGATTAAACAAAATCGACACAAAAGAAAGTAAAATGTAGCGTTAGACTTACCGTTACCAAATGCGATGGCCAAAACTCCGTAATGAAACAAAAGGACCAACAAAGGCGACATGGAATTGTTGGACCACTTAAACGCGAGACCGCCTGTCCTCGACTGCTGTTCGATGCATTTCAACCACCGAACCACCGTGCAATTTCGACCCTGAAGCACGCGCTTCCCCTACCATCGGGTTCATTTCCAAGGAAACTCGCGCAGGCGTTTAGAACAATGCAGAGATCCAAGTTAAACAAACTGCTTGTCGTAGAGATGGCCTCCTCTTCTATATCTACGTAGTATGTATGCGCTTGTTCGTTCGACTAAAATTCTAAATGTAATACATATTATTAATTACAACAACATTTAAACTAGTATCGATAAATTATCGATAGTTGACCTTTGTTATCACTTTTGAAACGCATTATCGTGAAAGAAAACATACGTAGCCTTTGTAACTTTAAACTAGCACCATTTTCGCGTTATTTTTCTTTTGTTTTTACATTGATTTTCACCTGTCGCGCGCGGACGCATTCTTCAAATTGACAAATGACCGTTCGCGGTTCTCGGAGAAATTTGATGAAAAATCAGTCGTTAACTCTGCTCGATAAATTTTCTTTCGCCGACGAAAATCAGCCCGATGCAATGACATCGTATACAAATACATTCGTGACGTTTGAAAAATGGACGTAAAGACGAGTCAGTGCTTAAAGTGCGATGGGGACGTGGTGGTGAACACCGATCACTGCCCGAAATGTGCGACTTCTCTCAAGTTCGCAAAGAAATCTGCTGGCCCAGCAACGGTTAACGGTAAGGCGGAGGCGATGAAAATGTCCACTAAACCTCTGGAAGTTAACTATGCGATGCAAATCGTTTCTATCGGAGTTAGATCCGACAACGTTTACGAGGTTCGTTCGAGTATCGCACGATTAACTCGTTTATGAAAATAAAAAATCTCTTTCACCGTAGGCAAAGATGTTGTTAGCCCCAGAGGTAGACATGTCTTCGATCAAAATAACCGTGAAAGGGAACAACCTTCGCGTGAACGTATGCAAGCCGTTGAACGACAAAATCGTGAATCATCTGCCAGACATCGCCGAAACATCGGTTCTCGGCGATCTAATTAAAACAACGATGAAACATTGCGAAAATCTTCTGATACCGGACGATATCGATGGCGAGAAAATTCGCGCAGTGGTAGACAATAAGCAAAGAATGCTCATCCTCACGGCACCCGCGATCAAACCCAGTCAAACAAGAAAGAAAATAATCGTTAAAAATTGAGAGAAAATTTCGAATTGCAATTATTTTTCTACTCTCGTTTGCGCTATTGCGCGAAACTATCGGCGATAATCAGCGAAATACGAATCTCGATGGAACGACTACCATGGATGATCGGTGCTTGTTAAAAATCGATAACCTTCGAGCCATGTACAGCCGTACTTATATATGATTTCCAATGTATTTTAATCATTTGTAAATTTATACCGATCGCGTCATGGACTATTTACCGCGCCATTGTCGCGAAAACGCAACCTTTTTCAAGCAGAACGATTACATAAACTTTGAAACGATATCAAACGGAGTAAGAATGAGTTTCAAATTCACAAAAGTTCCCAACTTTTACATCATCGACAACAAAGAGTGCTACGCTGTACGTTTCTGTTTCAACTACTTCAATCTGCTACATCAATTTTACTACTACGCGATACAATTGTTATTCGACTGGTATACGTAAATTCGACAAGAGTAAAACCCCAAATTTTTACCATAGATAATACATATATATAAATATGATACTATAGTATTTATTTAATTCACAGACGGAAATGAAAATCGAGGGATTAAAAGTAGGATCGGTTACTTTAGCCACTGAAAACGTGTTGAACGTAAAGTTGCATAGTTCCGATAAGTGGTCGCATGTCAGGAACTTGAATTTTCTGATGCCGCCGGAAACGAACGTGAAAAAAGTGTCGGTCGAGGTACTCGATGACACGATTTTCGTACGAGCCCCGCTTAAGAAAAGATACACTTAACACGTTACCATTACGTGTACCGTTCATCGTTGTTCCGTAATCGATACGCAGAAAAATTCGACTCTTGGAAAGAGTTCAAGATTAATAACAAGACTTGTTCCATGTACTTGTCTTCCCATTTCTTTATTCAAAACAAATAAAGCTTGCGAGTCGACTTTGTTGTTGATAAAAACTTTTTACTTCTTGGCGGGCACGGTTTTAGGTGTTGCTGGTTTTTCAGCTTTTTCGGTTGTCTTGGTCGTTTTTGCTGGTTTAGCAGCAACAGTGGCTGCCTTTTTCGCAGTTGTCACCTTCTTGGGTTTGGCTGCTTTCACAGCCACGATCTGTTTTCTGCGTCTTTCCTGCAGCAACTTGGACTTTACAGCTGGTGCAGTCTTTGGTAGCTTGACCTAGGCATCACAAAGTGTTTCGTCACAATTTTTACCTATACAGTTTATATTAACGAACATTAACCAATCAACTTACTCCACGTTTCTCGGCTAAAAGAATCTCCCTCTCTTGCTGACGTTTCTTCGCGGTCAAAATTGCAGCACGTTTCAGTACAGCAGCGTACGGGTTCAGACGCAACATTGCGCGAGTGTTGGACAACGGGTTCAGCTTCTTGACGCTACGGACTACCCTCTTTCTACAATTACAAACAATTTTCTTCGATATACGAATGGCGAACAAATGGATTGTCGATACGCTCGTGATAACTCTGCATCAGTTGCAATTAAATCGTTATCACTGTCAATCAATAACACGGACCAAAAAACAATATCATCATGAAACTAGATATATCAAGAGGATATACATACGAGTATATCGTATTCACAGCATATGGGTTTACATACCTCGGTGATCTTAAAACTTTGCGAATTTCATCGGCTTTTAAAAGTCTCGACAAATCCGTGTTGGCCATCTTTGGGAATGGCAAGTTGTAATCAGCTTTAAGTTGCGAATCCTTGCGCCAGGTTCCATAAAGAGCATCCAACTTTTCAAAAGCAGATTTAGTCCAGATTACGAATCGACCCACATGACCACCAGGTGCCAACTTGAGAAGATTCACTTTGTTGATGTTCATAAGATCAACACCGGGAATGTTACGGAAGGCCTTACGAATGCCCTACAAGTAAAATGAACAGGCGAATTTACAATTGCCTTTAGCTACTTGAAAAATGAATAATAAACTATGTTTCAATCGTTTTCGTACCTGGTCTTGACCATACACGATCAAAGGCCCTCGGCGTTGAATGCGCCTACGATTACGCATTTTACCTTTACCTGCACGAAAACGTTGCGATTTGTATACCTATAAACAAAATAAAGATATTAATCTCTAATACGATACGTATGTACGACGTTTTCTTTACATCGAATTCGATTGTTTGGTTACATTTACCCTTGTCTAGAAAGAAAAGTAACTAGTCAAAAACGCCTGGTAACCATATTTTTCTAGCACTCGATAGGAGCATCTCGATTAAATATGTTTTAATAGAGATGCGGACATTTCATGGTGCAAATGCAATTTATTGTACTGCGTTGCTTAAAAATCTATCTACCTTTTGAATATCGTTCCATGCCTTGATACGTCGTAAAAATATAACAGCATGTTTGGTTTTGTTATATTCTTGAATTTTATCCGATACTACCAAAGGAAATTCCGGAACTTCTTGGATCATGTGACCTGAACAAAAACACAGAAATTTAACTATCCGCGTATCTAACGTAAAACACAGCTAACCGTATAATACGAGTATTCAGAATAAGGTTATCGGTATAATCAGTGGCAAATCAGCAACACGGACCAAAGTAATTCATCACTAAAGTAACCTACTAATCAACGATACAAAATACATAATCTACGACGTAAAGTTTACCTTTAGATTGTACGAGGGCTGGAACTCCGGATGCCGCAATAGCAGAAACTAGAGCGTATCTTTTCTGGTTAACGTTAATTTTACGATGCCAGCGTCGCCATGGCTTTGTCGGAGCAAACATGCGTCCTCCTCTACACATATTACCAAATGCACCTTGACCGGAGCGGTGAGTACCGCCACCGCGTACACGAGGGATACGTGCCACCGCGCGTCCTGTACCCCATGATTCAGCGGATGTTTGGTGACCTGATAAAAGAAACCTACATTTATTAATTCTACCATTAGTTATTTAACAAATAAAAATAACAAACGTCACGAGTACGTTCTATGCGTATAAATTTCAGAGCACTCTATTCGGCGTTTAAATAGCTAGAAATAGCTAGGAATTTATACTCACCAGCCTCCTTGGATACGCAATACGGCTGCCTACTGTTTTTGGATACTTGTTGGTGAATGAAATTCACAATGTCTGGCCGAATCGGTGCTTTGAAAACAGCAGGCAAAGAAATAGTCTCCCCCGAAGACTCATTCTTATCGGTATATACTGTAACAAGCGGTCGCGCCGTTGATAACGACTGTAAAAAGAAGAAATGGCTATTAAATGAAACGATATTTCAAAATATTTTAGTGTAAAACCAATCGGCGGAGGTGTCGGCGGAGACAATATCGTGTGTTACGATTCGACTCGAAACGATTTCAATTGACACTGCACATGGCGGACCGAACGCCCGAAATAGTTGTGTCCCATATGATCATTTCTTTATAATCCAAGGTAATTTGATTAGCTTGAAAAATATAAGAAATAAACAATTAGGAAGATTGAAAAGTTGCACACCAGAATATATTATTTAATTCCGAATTGCGATTACAATAATTCATAAATCAAAAATGATCACACGTGGTCAACGATGCTGTGAAACCGAAGACATTAGAGTTCCACGTTTGATAGAAAATCTTTCTGAACGGAGAGACGCTTTAACTATAAAATCATATTAAATACCGCGATACGATTACCGGAATTTTTAATGAAATGTAATATTCCTTACCATCTCGCGTTCCTTTTACAACTTTTTACGCATCAGACATAAACTAACCAGCAAGCCACCACGCTTTACCTGGTCGGAAACGGAAAGGAAGAAGAACGCAAGCAAAGCGGAAATTGTGTTGTGTAGCAAGTTCGCGCATGCTTAGAAGTCGATTCTACCTTAAAACACCGTTCACAGTCTTGTTTCGTGTCGTCTCGTGTCCATTGAAACTATACATTGAAATTGTAGTATCGCGCACCAATGGTAACGTAGCATTATGCATATATGGCTTTATGGGAATGTACGGGAATTAACGTACGACGAATTAATATTGGTAAACGGTGATGATGATTACCAATGATTACAAGGTTACAACTTTTCCGAATTCTTGTTGACACAAATTTTGACAAACGGATAAGCGTCACGGATTTATCTACGTTTTCCTAAATGGCAGGAGAAGTTATCGTTGATGCGTTACCGTATATAGATCAAGGTTATGATGAACCAGGAGTTAGAGAAGCGGTAAATAAAATTTCCATTTTCTCATTTATAGACTAAAATAATGTAAGGTTATATCTTTTAATATTTTTATTTATATTTTCATTAATCAATATAAACGAATATGTGATGTCATGATCATTGTATATTTAGGCATTGGCAATGGTCGAAGAGGAAACACGCAGATACAGACCGACTAAGAATTATTTAGAACATTTACCATCGCTGAGCATAAATGCTTTCGAAACTGATGTAATGAAGCATGAATTTGAACGAATGCAAAATCGTTTACCTATGGAAGTACTCAGCATGAAACGTTACGAGTTACCTCCGCCACCTCCAGGCAAAATGAACGATCTCGCGGCATGGAACGAAAGCGTAGAGAACAGTAGCGCGCAACTCGAGCATCAAGCTACTCGGTACGTAACAATTTTAATTCTGTAATTTTTATTACTACGTTTGTTGTTTTTCCAATGTTCTATACCTTTGCAGAATTTGTAATCTGGAATTAATGATGGAATACGGATGCGAAGCTTGGAAGTCTTACTTGGAAATATTAGTACAGTTAGTGAGTCAAGCGCAAAAACAGTTGCAGGCATTAAGGAAAAAGATTCAAGAGGTGAATTGGCAAAGAAAATCTATGCAGACTCAAGGAGGAGAAAAATTAAGAGCATTGGAGGCACAGTGGGTTGGATTGGTATCAAAGAATTATGAAATTGAGCAAGCATGCGTTCATTTAGAGGAAGAAATACAAAAATCGATGATGAATAAGGGTGAAGCTGTGGAGATCAATGATGTACCAGGAGAGGAAGAACCGGATGTACCAGGAAAAAATGCTACAGAGGTTATGGCGACAGAAATGAATCAACAAGAACAAGAAAATCGAGAAGTGTAAAAACCATATGACAACATTACTGTATAAATTAATAAATGACTGTGTTTTATATATTTATTTAAATATATTAACTGTATTAAATTTAATACAAAAAATTGAAAAGACTGAAATACTGTTCCTCTTAGTTCCTCCACTGGTCCGTTGGTACGTGGCAGTCTAAACGTTGTTGAACTTTATCCGAATCTCTGGAGGATCACTAGAAAATCGTTACGTCTAAACCCACACTATAATTGCCTGCCATTATCTAGATCAGGATGTCCAATTGTCCAAGCAAAGTTTATAGCGCTACGTGGGAAAAATTCAACCAACTATAATATGGAGCACATGCGCTCCACATTTTAGTTGGGTGAGTTTTTCTCACACGGCGCTACAAACTTTTACTACGTGAACTTGGATCCCCTGGTCTATATATTTCTTTAATAATGCTTGCAAATACATGTGTACTGTACATGACATCATAGAAATTTAGATCACAATTCTGTGGTTTCTGCTATTTCGTGAAATTTTACTCTTGAAAGAAAACCGACACGATTTGTACGTCGTTGAACGAAACCAAGTGTCTAGAGTGCCGTACAATATGAGAACGAATTTATCTGTGTCAAGTTTATGATATGCTGAACAAATTATTTTCATTCTGCTGTAACGTAGATATCGATCAACATTGCACACGCTGGACAAGATTTATCAGTGCGATAGTGTGTTACATCACCGTAAGTCTCATCGTTACTTTTCGACAATTTATTGGTATCGTCGATTTTTGTATTTTGCGTATAGCTGGGTTGACAGTGACCTTCGCGAAGTCACTATCAAGTTCATGAAATATATAAATATCTCGGGATAGGAACGCTACGTTTTCTACTATATCGACGATACAGTATTTATCGAACAAGACTTAATTTTGATACTTGAAACCGATTAAAGCATCCAAGTAGACGACTTTTCTGTCACCTCGAATCTTTAATTCGACACATATACTTTCTGTGCATACATATATGTATACGTGCGTGCGTGCGTGCGTGCGTGCGTGCGTGCGTGCGTGCGTGATAGAACACAATTCGTATCGTATAAAAAATGAATTCGTTTTATTGTTGCAACACGCGCGATATACATATTAGTCTACGTTTGTTTAAACGGTAAAGATACTATGAACGTTTGCGTGTGTATATCATTACCTGAACTTTAGATACAAGAAACATGAAAAACACAAATAAATAAACATCTTTTCTTTATCAGTTCTGTAAAAGATTTGGGTATTAATTCCCGAAAAATATTGATGAGATATGCAGCATCAGGTTGAACAAAGGCTTCCAGAAACCTTAGCGTACGAGTACCTCGACAGTGTCGAAACAGGTTGTGGCACAAGTCCACGAAATGACTGCGGTAGAGGCACCGCATTTTATCCGCACCATCGAATGGGATATGATGGACAAAACAAAGTTTTTTCCACTAAGCATGCTGTCGTCCTTTTCGGTACGCTGTTGTTTATACCCATTAACGGTAATCAAAACTCGTTTACAAGTTCAAAGGCACAATCGTATGTACACTGGTAAGTTGGCGCATAGATCTTTCGAGTCTGGTACAGCCGATGTTTCTAGCAGCTAGCTTAAACATAACGCTGATAGAGCTGTCGGATAGTTAAGTAAAGGTTCAACTATTTAATTAATATACCTGTAATAATTTTCTATAGGAATGATAGATGCTTGCAAAAAAATATACAAAGTTGAAGGTGTATCGGGTCTTTATAGAGGATTCTGGATAAGCTCTATACAAATTGTATCCGGTGCATTTTACGTATCTACGTACGAAGGCGTGCGCCACATACTTGGACAAGATTGCGTTATAGGTCGTATAGATTCGCGGGTTAAAGCACTAATTGCTGGTGGTGCTGCTAGTTTGGTAGGGCAAACTATAGTAGTTCCTTTTGATATTCTAAGTCAACACTTGATGGTTCTCGGGATCAGTAATACCAAACGTGGGAAAAATTATATAGACAAAGTAAGTGCACCGAAAATAGTAGCAATACCTATCGTTTATTTCATTTCTACATGACTTACAGATGGATATAAATCCATTGGGTTTGACTCTCGAGCCTGGAAAAACTCGTGCTCGGATATCGGTAGATATTATCAAATTGATTTATCAGACAGACGGTTACAGAGGTTTCTATCGAGGGTACATCGCATCGTTATGCGCTTACGTTCCTAATAGTGCACTTTGGTGGGGATTGTATATATCTTATCAAGGTAACTAAATATTAAATCATCTAAAAATAAATGCATCTTGGATAATAACATTTTTGTTTCGCGTTACAGAAGAGCTTATCCGACTATTCCCGGAATGGTTTTCTCATTTGTTCATTCAAGCTGTGGCTGGTACGTTGGGAGGATTTACTACTACGATTATTACAAATCCTCTAGATATAGTACGGGCAAGATTACAAGTGCAAAGATTGGATAGTATGTTTAGCGCATTCAAAGTTCTTTGGGTCGAAGAAAGATTACAAATGTTCACGAAAGGACTGTCCGCGCGTCTCGTACAGTCTGCTTGTTTTAGTTTCTCAATAATTCTAGGATACGAAACAATAAAAAGATTCAGTATAAACGAGGAGTACAAAAGTTATATTAGGTGGTAGATTCGTTTATGCTTGAAATTTGTATAAATAATTTGTATGATTATGCATTTCTCGCCGATTCTGTATTATACACAAAAGCAACAGATACGCAACAAAGAAAAGAGAATGAGATCATAAAAATATGATCGTAGGTTTAAATTGTTTTGTTGACGGTATACTTGTTATAAAAAGTGAATATTATAATTGTAAGTATGGTCGGTAGATGTGAGAAAAATCGATTAAAAGAAATAAATTATGAATTTTAAGAGGAATCAATTTAACCATCAATAGGACATAGATATTTGTTACTATGTTTTTGGTAGCTCGACACGGGATATTATTGTTAGATTAGGTATATCGCTGTGATAGCATACATACGGTACCAGAGAGAACGTGTACGTTTAATAGAAAAATAAGATTTCTCTCTAACGAATTCTGTATAAAAAAATATGATAACATTTCATAGGAAAAGTATACGGTAGACAGAATGTTTAAACAAATAAAGTTATTAATTATATTCTGTAATATATTCTGGTCCGCATAATTTGAAATCGATATTATATCAAAGTTGAGTCGTTCTATGTTCTTCCATCTACTCTAATTGCAGGTAAGCTGTGTGCGTAAAATAAATAATATTGGTTTGATTTTTCTTTTATTACAAAGGACAGCATATCGATAGACAGATTTTGTTTAAAAGGTACTCGAGTGGTCTTTTTAAAGTGGTTCTTGTACATGAATTGTGATACTTGTTACGTTCGCTTGCTACCTACTTTTTGAAAATAAAAATGTTACGATACGTTATTTATAATTATTTTTTGCACATATTCGTATAGTATGTACAGGCCAGGGAAATCGTTTCAATCTTCAATGTATACAGTATATGTATAATGCGACTTGCACACGTAATTACGTTTTTCACCGGTGTATCCGAACTGTACATAGTACTGAACGTAGTATCAAGTTTTTCAATCACAAGGAGTCTATATACATATACGTACATGCAGTTATATTTTTCACGAATAACGTTTCTCAATAAGGATATCGATTAGCTGGACATTTTCGGTGATGAAATGAAATTAATTATTTTTCACTCGTATAAAGCGGTTCCCAGTTGTAGGCGATCGTGTGAAAACTACTATTTCCAAGTGATAATATTTATGCTGGTCAACTTACAGTATCTACAATGACTAGAATTTTTGTAACGCTGCGTTCAGTTTGACAACCATTCTTTTGTCGTGTTCGCGAATGTCTTTTTTGTTTTTCTTTTTTTTAAATTTTTCGTTTAAATAAAAATAAAGAATCGATAGTATAGAAAGAAATGCTGCAAGGAATCGTAGATAACGGAGCTACTGTTTTCGAGAGAAAATGGGCTAAGCGAGCTGCAATGCCTGAATAATCGAAACGAAATCGAATTTGAATATGACGAGCTATTTCTATGTTTGATTATTGATAACCGAGTACGATAAGGCTAGCTCGATATCAATAATACTCGCGCAAAGATGGAACGAATGTATAAAGTATAAAAATGTTAATTTGTTATTAGTTGATGAAAATCGGTTCTGTGCGCGGTCTCGTTTGGGAGCATCGACTGCGACAGGACGCGACGCGATGCAACATGCAACGGGTCGCTTGCGTCGATGAAATATTAATTAAGCAATGGCGAGGACGATTTTGTTTTAGTTATTTGAGAAAAAAAAAAGATCGATTTAGTTTATTCGGAGAATACACTGTATTTGTTGATTCGAATTCAAAGTATCGGTTAATCGGTTACCCTCGCATCTTTTCAACATTGTATTCTTCATAATCGATTTGTTGAAATCGCATGCATTACTACTACAAGTAACTACATCCTTTTTATTTATCGGAACTTTCAGCACAATAGAGTGGAGTTAACGTTGAATAAAATATTGAATTTATCGTTAACCGGCGAAACGTGTATGTACATATGTATTTGTATATAGTTATACATACATGTATACATATATTCGCTTGAAATACGCGTTTTTTTACAGTTTCTCGTACATAGTCGCGTTTGTGTCGTTTATAGTTCGCGTTAAAGTTTTCTAATATTTACAGTTATACGGCGATGGTTTATGTACACTGACGGGTACATACCTACATACCTACATACCTACATACCTACATACCTACATAGCTACATACATGTATTACGATGATTTTGATCAAATAAATACGCGTTCTGGAAAAATATTGGCTATAGAGGGTATGGACTTGGTATCTGGTATACGTCCATTTTTCGAATAGAGATTGTCCATTACGATAATCGGGTGAAATTAGATAGATGATAGTTGACAGATGTGTAATCGATTTCGATCATGTTCGATGAAGATTTCCATGTATGATAGATGGCAGATACGCTCTGGTATATCTAAGCAAATAGAAATGCAAATACAAATGCAAAGGAACGTAAAGGAAGAATTAGCCGAATGTAAAAAACGAAGGAAATGCAAGGCTAGTGTAAAATACATTAGGTGTTATAATCGATATAATAATTTATATGACTTTGCACTGTTATTATAAATAAAATCGCTGGCTCGCACGATACGATGGATACATGTACAGCATTGTCTCGGCGTGCTTTGATTCGCTAAATCGGCTAAATTGTTTGCAGTTTGCAGCAGATACGACGCGCAAGGCTACGTTACTTGTTACTTGTTACTTGTACACAGGATGTATCCGTGCAAGTATATTTGGCAGGCTCTCGGTTTAGCGGTGAATCGATGATACAAAGGCTACGGAGAGTATGTCTAAACGTTTCACCTACGTAATGTACAATTGGTTATCTTTCGACTCTGACGATAGGTGTATTGACTCGATTTTATTGTTAGATGAAAAATGATCAGATTTGAAAAGTGGTTATAATTCGCGGCAAAGTGAAATAGAAAGAAATAGATTTGTGTAAAGTTTGTTCGTTACATTTGTGTCGTCGATCGTCCGCTAAAGCGTATCCTACGTATCCATTTAGAATACGCTCTGTAGGTATACACGTATGTATGCATACATATGCATAGAAGAAGGAGCGAAGCGGTAATCACTCTCCTTCGTGTGGTCCACTTTTCGTCGCGTAAACTCGATGGGATACTACTACATGTATTATTGAGTGCGGCAAGAAGCACCGCACCGTTGGCGTTATTCCTCCACAACGCGACGAACCGTTGATTTGTATGTTGCGCGGCTCAGCCAGGTGGTACGGCTAGGTAGGTAACGTGTAATCGGTTACCGGCTACCAGTTGATCGTTCGATCATCGTTTCTTTGGGCATACAGAACCGTCGCGAGACTCTTCACCTATAATCACGTGTCCCGAAAACGAATCGCTCTTTCTCGACGAGGCCCGTTCCGGGCCCCAGTGTGACGTCAGATCCCGCCGCTTGCCAACCCACTCGCGGTACCACCGTCGCTGCTTTGACTCACGCTACTGTAACTGACGCTGCTGGCCTGTCCGCCGACATTCGTTCCGGAAACGTACTGGAATCAGAACAATTTATTATACATACATTCGTCGTGGCCGTTGGCATGGTATTCTATACTCGATGGAGATATGCGTATAGATCAAGTGGGAGACGATTAATTTAGAAAACGGTCGAATTTAATTTCCGTCTCGGTCGGTTCAAGGTCGACGAATCGATCGTGTATCTCGCTCGTGAAACCTTACAACCTTACGTACAAGTTTACAACTGACGAAACTCCAATCCTTGGAACAGAATTTTCCCCATTGCGATAAGGATTACGTTTGTTCCGTTGCTCGTGACGCATCTTTGATCTCGCCAGCTAGCTAAATTATTGCATCTCTTCGGATGCGAATAGATTTGCTTACTAATGTATTTGTTAATAACAGCACGAAATTATCGAGAGCTTTGCAACAGGGCCTCGATAATTAAATTCCTTTACCACGCCACTCTGTTTATCTTTCGGAAAATTTCATCGAAATTAAACGACGCCGACGCGACGCGACGCGACGCGACGCGACGCGACGCGACGCGACGTCTGCGTCGTGTTCGCGCGCGAGCTCGCCATTGATCCGTGCGTTAATTAACTAATTCGAAGAGCTCCGCAGTCGTCGAGGTCGAGACAAGTTTACGAATGCGCCGAGGATATCGAGATTTTAATAGGTCGTCGTTTTCCATAGTATACGTAAATTAGATAGCAGAGTAAACCTCGCGAAACAGCACGCGTTTAATCAACGCGATATGCCGTAACCGCGACGAAACTGGTATTCGTGTACACATAGAAAAGGCAAACGAAACAAAGGGATATAATGGTGCCGTTATCATCGATGATACCAACAGAAGAAAACCCAGTCGGTCGGGATACTCGGATTCGTTGAAAGTTGACTCGAATATTTTTAGTTTCGTTGGTCGGTTGGTCGGTTGGTTTAGCAGAGGATGAGCGTCGAGTTGTAAAACTAGCAGAGAAGCCGGAAAGAAACAGGAAATCCGATTTGTCCGGTCGTGTCTTTGGGGAATTTGGTGCTCGACAGAATAAACGAGGAAACTTTTGCCTCGTCGGGGTAGCCGTCCCTCGAGTTGAGCCGAGTCTCGAGTCGAGTCGAGTTGAAACCGATGAAACAGCACAGCGAAGGCTATTGGTTGGATTTTCCATGGTACCGAAACGGAAGGAAATTGCGAGGAATTCACTGTACGCGACTCATTGTCAGACTCGTAATACGAGGCATGATCGAGCCAAAGACATAGAGTCGAGATCTCTTCTATTTATTCGTATGATAGTTTGGCTAGTTTGAAGAGTGGACCTTGAAAGCAGGGGAACGGTGATAAAGATTGGTAAAATAGCGAAATAATAGAAAAATGTCACGGGTGAAACGATTTTATTCGCGAGGTTGCTCGTCGCCTCGATATACGTAGTATTTGCGGTGACAATTTTTCCACGGCTCACCGCTTCGTTGAATATCGAGTTACATATTTGGTTTACGAGCACGAGCCATCGAAAATTGTTTTGTCGTCACGCGTCGTTCCACCCGTAGGCGGTCTACCCGCCTACTCGTGATTCTCTCAAAGAAAATCGAATAGTTTTATCGAAACTGTAAAACGTTTTAGAAATAATTGTTGATGCGCGTTTAAGAAAGAAAAAAAAGAGGGATAGAGATAGAAGTAGATCCGGTTCTTGAAATTTGTAAAAAAACCAAGTTTCTGAATGCAAAGTAAATTAATAGGAAAGTCAGGGTGCTGCGAATTACATGTCGATGTGAAACCGACGATAACTAGGGAGGGGAATAAAAATATCCTCTCGAAAAGAAAAGAAATGGAAAGAGAAATTCGAGAGAATCGGGTGTCGTTAAAACTATCTCTTCCATCGGAATAACCAAACGGTCGGCTCGAAAAGATGAAAGTTCGAGTTTCACTCGGGGGCTCGAGAAGACAACGGTACCTTTCAACCCGTTTTCCGAAATGTTTTCAGGAAAAACAAAAAGACAAAGCGAAAGCTCGTATCTGCCAGATTGCATCGGACACGTTCTCGGCTGCAAAACGAGAAACGAACGGGGTCATTCGAGTTCCAATGGAAAAGAGAAGGCCAGGCCAGGCCAAGCCTCGTCTCGTCTCGTCTCGTCTCGTCTATGGTGCTGTTATTCGTCGATATAAACGGTGATATAATTTCATTTGAAATTATTACTACAGTTTGTTAGGCAGGAAGCGAGAAGTAGTACTATTTTTGATAAGAATCGTGTTTCGACGAGTGGTCGGTGGTCGGTAGCCTGATGCATTTCAACTAGTTGGATTTAAATCTCATTTCCATTTAATTAGCATTTCGAGTATCGTAGAAAGGTAGTATCTACTAAAAAGTAGAGGATACAAAGGTATGGTGTGAAGCAAACCGACTGTTGAGCGTTCAAGATGGGAACCGTGTTTCAAGGATCGTGTTCGATCGTTGACGGCTCGCAGCTCGAAATTAAGAAACGTAAAACGGATCGCAACATTTCAACGTGACTTGCTACTAACATACGGTACTGTAGAATGTACGGTGCTGGTGGTGCGGTAAGTGCTGGTGCGCGGTGTGCCCGTGTGTATTTACATGTGCGAGTGTCATTGATCGAGAAATCCATTCGCTATTGAACGTACCGAGGCAACGCAATACGAGGATGTTGACAGAGTCCTTTGGCGATAATCTGTGCTAAGCGTCTTCGGACGACTAGGTACTAGGTACTAGGTACTAGGTACTAGGTACTAGATAGAATTGTCTCGATGTAGACGATGCTTCGATGGCGATGGCGATGGCGATGGATAGAAAAGGAACGCGAAGGAATCGAGAAAGGTTTCGAGGTGGTGTCCAACGACAGAGGACATCCGCGTCCTGACCATTTATCCCATCGTTAAATGTATGTTTGCTCGCACGAACTCTCTTGGCTGGTTCGCACGTGGTGGAGCGAGTACGCAGAGTAGTATCTTCCGGATGCAAATCTCTGAAAAAATAGTTGTATACTGGACGACGTGGTTACTCTTTGCGTTAGCCAGGCTGCTTCCAATTCGAATCGATAGATTTTCTCTAGAGTACTTGTCGTATGGATATCTACATGTATGTATAATATCCGAAACGAAATTACATGCAAATCACGAATTCGACGAGTAAATATTACTAGTCTGTACCGCTGCTTGCAACTTTTTCCTACTATTAAAGAAGGAAAGTTTTCTGTTCGTAGCCAAAGCGAGCGTGACCGGCCCACGGCCGCGCTCGCGCTGTGGGAATCGGTCAACTTTTGCGAACCGAATCAGACCGATACGTTCCGAACCGAACACAACTTTGTCTCCATTCTCGTTGCGAAATTCCCATGTCAAAAGTAAGTTGTGTATGTCGCGTCCGCATCAAAGTCCAACGGAAAATAGTTGGCTGATGGAGTTTACCAACTATGATTTCTATACCTCGCGATAAAGAAGAAATTAAACGTCACGAAATCTACACCGTAACCGAGATATGCTACGAGTTACTCGAATGTTAAATCAGAGTAGCTTTATCCGCAAACATCGGGATAAAATATTTTCCGTGAAACGGACAACTTGAAAACTTTACCAATCGAAATAATAAATGTCCTTTTCTTGGCTGGATTTCAAGCTCACTTTATTAGATGGCGACTCGACGCGAGCTCTAGCGTGTTCCCTTGACCCCTTTATACTTGGCTCGAAATGTTACCCTCGAATCCGGACTCGCTGATATTGTAATCAATCTTACGATTTGCTTTACGGGTGTATTCGTCCACGCCTGTTGCTTTTTTAAACGTTACATCGAAATCTGAAAAAGACTTTTGAAAAGAATAGTACACGTAACGGAATGGAATGGAATGGAACGGAACGGAACGGAACGGAACGGAACGGAACTGTTCCTTTCTAGTTTTTTAAATAAAAGAAATGTTTTGTTAGATCGCGTATCGTATAGCAAAGATAACATGGTCGAAAACCTCTGGAATTAACCGTTGATTGAAAATTCATCGACATCGATCCACGGTATCTCCATTACACGCTGATTCACCGATCGTTATCCTCAAAGCCGTTTATTTTCATTAGACTTAATGGACTGAACGACTACGACTGGGCGAACAAGTTTAATATTTTTACCATAATTCGATAAAAATAGGCGCGCGATGAGAAAGGGTTTTCTCTCGGTCGTTTTTGGAAAACGAGAATCGCATTCGGTTCTTTTACTTTGTTTGCACAAACTTTAAGTTACGATCTTCGTTCAGTCTCCGATGAATCCGATCGGTCGTCGGTCGTCGGTCGGTTCTCCGAGTATACGAGAATACGACAAAAGGGGCTACAATACATGCGTACTGTACGTACATGGATATGTATGTACATATACACGATTTTCTTCTCGAATACCGGCGCATATTTTCTTTTCGATTTCTCGATACAAGTGTTCCGATGTATCATCGAGTCGAATAACATAAATACTGGCTACTGCTGGCTATCGACCGTTTCGATTTACGGTATCGGCGACACAACGCGACACGACAGAGTTGTTTTCGAAGGGAAACTTGTTCGACCTCGTGGAATCGAATCGGAGCTTCTCGGTGATTGTACGCGTAAAGTAAAATCTATACATTTCATACTTACTTGGCTTGGTTTACATCTAAATGCTGGCTGATATCGTCGTCTCATTCGTCTAGGGCAGCAGCCGCAAAGAATCCTCGCGAAAGCTCTGAAAAAGAGACAGAAAATCAACTTTTCGGTTCGATAATCCGAGTTTAGCGTATTCGACCGGTGACACCGATATTGGGTCGATTCGCAGTTTCGAATCGTTCACCCGAGCAAATTCATTAGCCGATAATGCAACGTTTGTTGGGAAAATTGTGAAATTGTGGTAAAAAGTTGGTCGCGTCGCTATGTACGATGTAGGGTGTAGATTGTACGGTTTGAACGTAACGGTATCGCATGACTGAAACGATGCCTCGAATATTGCGCGCTCGTTGGACATCGCAAGTATTTGCATAGGGACCGTGCGTCGACGTCGCATGCGATACTTTCCGCCATAGAGGCCAGAAATGTCCATGTCCGATTTGTTTAGTGACAACTAAATGCATAATAGCATAAATATATGAGGAATTGTCAGTTAACCGATCAGCGATCAGTTTTCGTGTCCTAATAGAAGGAAATTTCACGGTAGAGGCCAATGGAAATTGGTTGTCGTTCGATGATGTATCGAGAGCGTGTAACAAGTACACGGTAATTTTAGCGATACGTATCTAGCAGAGGACATCGAGTCCTCGACTATCTTGTTCGTCCAATCGAGGAATAGGCACGGAGCGCGGTTATGGTTGTTGAGGTATGTAGACGCTTTCGGCTTTATCGAAACGGTTACTGTTGTCGAGGACTGTTCCCGTGGAAGGTTCGCGGACATGTCGTTTTTACGATTATCCTATTGTTTGTTAATCGAAATCGCATTCGAGTTGACACGTTTCGCGTTCTGCGTTGTCGTGTCCGAGGATTTGGTCGAGACGTACAAACGGGAAAGAACGTTGGGCGATCGTGGATTGATCGTCGAGAACCTCGCGAGTTATCAAGAAGAACGCGATCGTTTGTCCAAGTCGATACCGTGCATCGAGAGTTTGGTGAAGAAATACATAGACGAACCGGGTCGGTCCGTCTTGTTGGAATTGGACAACGAGACGGACGTTAACGAAATGATCGCTCGGCCACTGGTGACGAGCCTGAAAGCTCGCTTCGCGTTTTTCACGCACACCACCGACATGAAGTTTGATATACCAGCGGAAACCGCATCGAGCACAATCATCTTAATGTCGAGCAGCAACAGTCTCGAGGATAGTTTGAACATAGTGTATCCGTGCGATCGAGGCTGTCTGTTTGTCGCGATACTGACTAGCGAGTTCCAAGAGGAAAAGAGTTTCCTCGAAGACGCTCGACTTCTGATAGAATCGATGTGGTCGACGCGAAGACTCGCGATAGTTGTCGCGGTGGCTAGAGTCGGTAACTCTGTCCTGGTAGCTGGCAGCGTCACCTTTGAACCGTACAAGCCTTGCAGTCCGTCTCCGCCTATCGTTTTGGACAAATGTAACGACCGTCGTCGCGACGCGGACGATCGCGACGCGACTTTGAATCGTTTAAAAAAGCTCGGTCCGCCGGCCTTGAACAATTGCCTACTCAAGGTGGCCTACTTCGATCAGCCTCCGTACGTGATGTCGGTGAACGGTACCGCGAATTTGACCGGTTTCGAGGGTAGCTTAGCGGAAGAGGTGACCAGAGGGATGCAGATCGAATGGGAGAGAGTCGAGTGGAGCGAGAATACCAGCTACTCGGAACAAGTGCAAATGTTGCTTTACGATGAAACAATGGCCGATCTGGTGATTGGTCGCATTCTCCAACAGTCTCACAGGGACATAGGGTATTCGACGACGTACGATATGCTAAAAGTGGTGTGGCTGGTGCCAAAAGTGCCAAAGGTGTCGTTGGAAGGACTGGTTTTGCCGTTTCAGCCGTACGTTTGGGCCGCTATAGGCGGATCTCTACTTTTCGGTGGCCTGATCAAGTTTTTCTTGATTCGCGACGTCTCCTGGTTGGACATTTTCGGTTTGATAATCGGCGCGTCTCTCGCTCGACAACCCACCAAACTTTCCAGAAAGATTCATTTCGTTTCGTGGAGCATTTTTGGTTTATTTCTCAGCCAGATCTACGTGGACTCGCTGGCTGGTCAGCTGATCGACGAGTCGATCCTTAAGATCGAAACGATGAAGGATCTGATCTCGTCTTCGTTCGAAATTGGGGGCACGGCGGCGTTCGCGAGGCTTTTCGACGAATTCGAGCACACGGACGAGATCGTGAGGCAAGTGCGCGATAAGATGGTCGTGTTCGAACAGGACCAGTACCTCGATCAGTTTGGAGATTTGTTGGAAGGACGAAACACCACGTTCGCTTTGGTCGCCGTGCTCAACTCGTCGCGTAGCGACGCTATCGAAACAGCGTACGCTTACACGATCACGACCGAGGTGATATGCAGCTTTCCGCTGGGTTTCGCTACTTGGACGGGTTTCCCTTACTTACGGTTCATCGACGACAAGATTCACGACTTTATCGATCACGGTATCTTTGATTTCATGATCCGGCAGGCACTCGCCAACGACACGCGCCTCAGAAAGTTTGCGATGGCGAACGATCAAGAATATAAATCAGAGCTTCATCTGCCGCAATTTGTTCCAGCTTTCTTGCTGATGCTAATCGGTTTCTCCAGCGGTTTAACGTTTCTCTTTATCGAGATTGCGCTCTATCCGTGGAAATTACTCGAGTAATTCTTCCAGAGAACAATTAATTGTCGTTATAATACTCGTTAGTGTTTGTCGGTACAGTTGGTACTCGACTGAAACGTAATCGAGATAAATTACGAGAGACGCTCGCTCGAGATCGTATTTCGTATTTCGTATTTCGTATGGCATCACGTATAAATTGGCATCGTTCGCGTGAGAGCAACGTCCGTCTGGAATCGCTGGATATCGTTTTACAATAGATTATCGACTTTCGCTTTACGAATTATAGACGGATATTGGATTGCGGCCGAACGAACGCGCGCGAGATAGGTGTGGTGTAACCTTTTTGTTGAAACCGTTCAAAAGTGGTCGATTCGTGTCAAGGACGTGGACGCGATTCTGGCAATTCGTACGGCGACGTCGCATTGTTTAGCAAATCTTGTACTCGTTACTCTCGGATTTACTGTATCTTCATTATACCATAAATACTAAAGTAATTCGAAAGGGTTTTTCGTCTTTCTTTCGAACCAACTTTCACGCATCCAACAAACCCAACAAACATATATGTATACACCTATGTACGTCCTCGTTTGCAAATCCTCGAAATGTTTCATTTTCTTCCTCCTCGTTCTTATTCTCGACTCGGCAAATCATTCTTTTATCCTTGTTCGAATTCGCGCTCCAAAGGACCCACCCATCCGCATCCGCACTCGGTCATCCATGTACATGTACAGTGTACACGGCTGATTTATTACGTATCGTAAAAGAAACGTAATTTTCTCGACTGGCTTCGAATGTATAGTTGAAGCCACATGCTAGACGGATAAATCGTAAAGACTGTCGTTCGAGGAACGATTTAACGGATCACGTTTCCGGTCCATACCTTTCTACGTGGAAATCGACGCGAAATTAAGACGTTTCAATTTACCGTGATCCTCGAATTCGTTGACTGACGTCGATTTTTCGCGTGACAGTTACGAGATACCTTCTCCCTTCGCTAATTCTAAGAAAAATTTGATAAATGGTCCTTCGTAAGAGAGCCGATCGAAACACACGGAAAATGATACGATAGGTGCGTATCGTATAATCCATACTATTCTATTCAGGATACTCGTATTCCGAGAAACGATATTATTGTAATTCTCTCCGAGCGTTTGCAAATATCGCGTATGTACCATGTAGTACTTATTGTTAGCTACATCGAAAAGAAAAAGCCGATCGAGAAAGGTAAGAGGCACGTACATACTACTAATCCATACATCTACCTGTATATCTATCCGGTGATCTGGAATTTCAGAGTCTATCGGATTTTCAAGCCCGTTCGAGAGCAGCTTCTCAAAGCCCCCGCCCCTCTTATAGCCATAACCGAACCGTTCCTATCCAAAAGTCAACATTTTTAAGAGCGCCTTTCTTCTTTCTCCGTCGATATGTAAAACCGAGCGCTTTAATGAAATTCCTCGAGAACTTTCCTAATTATTAAACTGTCCTCTCTCTCTCCCCGAGATTGCACTGTTTAAAAGATCCTTTCAAATCCCGATAGCCCCTATTACGAGTCGTTAAGAACTTACGGTTGGTACGTTTGCGAGTCTCTTCCATTTAACGGAGAAATATTTCAAAAGCATTCGATGCATCGTATATTATTCGTTCCGGTTCCTCTTTCGATCGGTCGTGAAGCACTTGGAAGGTACCGTATCGATGATATCTTTGCGGATAGCTTGTATTATTCAAGCGGGCTTTTTAATCGTTATTCGAGGTTATAAATTTCAAAGGAAACGATAAGAAAAGAAATATATTTAAAACTCGTAACAAGCGGTCCTCCTCTGCGGACGGAGTTTGACTAACTGGAACGCGAACTTTAGAGGAAATTTACGTAGATTCCATACGCGCGAACAGCATCCATCGATTTCACTGTTATTTCGCGCTCGAGATACAAAATAGAGATAACTCGAATCAAGTGTGCGAGTTGTAATTTTTACGCAGGCCTTTACGGCAACCCAAGTTTCGATCGAGTTTGTCGAAAAATCGTCCAACGCGAAAACGTCAAGTACTCGAAATATTTATACTTTCTCGTTATCGAGAAAAACACCGGCATGGCATCGTCGTCGAGCAGATACCATAATTTTTACTTTATTCGTATACGAACTATCTCGAGACCAAACTATGTACGGTTCACCGAACTATCAACGGTATCAACCAACGCGAGCAACATTTTATTCGAACGATAGACGTGAATGAAAACTCTTTAACGCGATTTATTCGAATCGCAACGTTTGTTTCAAGCATAATTTAATCGCATTATCGAGATTATAATTTTTATGAAACGACCAACAATATCATCGGTTCTATTCTACACATGTACGTAGGTTATTGAAAATGTCAAGAGACCCTAGGCAACCGAGTACAACGGGACTCGTTAACAAAACAGGAACCGAACGTGATATCCGGCTGCTGTGTCGTTAGATGGCGAAAGGTTCGAGTTGGGGTTGGGGAAGAGCAGAACAGGACAGAGGAGGGCAGGGCAGGGGCACGACACTGGGATTCAAATCGAACAAACGGAAGATTCTACTCTGATTGGGCTAACGTTCGTAAATTAGCTATATCGGAGTTTACGTTCTAATGATAGCGAAACGTGCCCCGAATGCATTTCTGCTGGCAATCGGTTCACCGTGTGCGACATACCAAACCGGAAATCGATGGCCGTGCAACAACATCGTCACAATGAATTTCGCCCCGACGTCCGCGCCGCGCCACGCCGACGCAAATCGCCGACGCAAATCGCCGACAATTGGACTCGATCGAGATGCGCGTTAAAAAGTTTATCATGACTCGCTTATGTCGCGCGACACGCGCCCGGATATGCGCACTCGTAACATTGCATCCGTTAAAACGAACGAAACGAAGCGATCGATCGTGTGATTTTCGGACTGTTAACGATGAAACAAGCAACGATGCATTTACTCTGCTCCACCACTCGCCACCACTCGCCACCAATCGTATAACTTGTCTCGAGCAATTTTTCCATATTTTCGATAGAAACGGAGAGATCGAAGATTTCACAGGTGGAAATGTTCGATCTGCAACTTGCTGCTTTCATCTGGACGATATCATGGGTCGCGTCATCTTTCGATTTTAGAAACGCTTTGCCATGACGTGGCGTCGGTGCGATGACGTCGACGTTCTAAAGCGTAGCAAGTTTACGGTTTCTCATCTCTCGTTTTTATTATATGTACGTTGCATGAGACAATCCTCGGATGTCACTTTCGATCGATATGTAGATATTAATCCAAGAGATAGTCGAGTAATTAATTATCCGCTAAGAGTGACGCGAGTGACCGCGCGCGCGATTCTATCGAACCGCGTTGATCGACGGCGACGCAGCGGCAGCGGCAGCGGCAGCGGCAGCGTTCGATTCGTCGGCGTCGACGTTGGAAGCGTAACTTGGCAGCTACGGCCACTAGCGTCGGCGTTAGCGTCGGCGCGATGTTGCGTCATCGTGTTCGAAACGTGATCGCGTGACGTCGGAAACTGCAACACGTGACGAATGCGGAAAAAAGGACTAACGATAAGATTGTCGTAGAAAGCGACGGAGAAAGACGCAACCCTAGCAGGGGTGATTGTCGGACGGGAAAACGTTGCTCGATTTTGAAAAAACAATCGATAACCAACAGTGATCGGAATCGTTGTAGAATTGTGTTGCGTAGGGTAACGAACGAGCATGTTATGGTATCGCGGAACAACGGGAGTAATCGTTAAAAGGGCATCGAGAGAAGGTTGGCAATCGCACGCGCGACTAGCACGTTTCACGGCTGTTTGCCATGGGTAAATGCAAAATCGATAGCCTCTTGGGCTTTCTCCGTGATGTGCAGGGACAGGAGGATCATCTTCGAGGTCGAAAACTGAGTTACCTCGGTGTGACCAGTGGCGAATGGTTATTAATAACGTGAATCGATCGTGCTCGAAAGTAGCGACGAGGCTGGATGAAAAGCCAGCCCGTTTTAAAAGGAACGGGAATTTGTTGAAAGCTCACGGTCGCGGATACAAGTCGCGAAATGATCCGCGACAGAACGTCGACTCGGTCAGCTCATTTACCGCTCGAATAAATCCCGAGCGTCATCTTCGATTCGTTTTTACAGGTCTAGTCGAACCGGACGAATTGGACCCCTTCGCCAATCTCCAATCTCCAACGACATTCCATTTTGAGTTGGATCGCGGCGCCGGCGCCGACGCGACCGCCCGGGTGTTTCTCGTCGATCGCTTCGTATATACGATCGTGACGAAAATCACAAATAGTGGTAGTGGTAGCGGTACAATTTGAAAAATGGCCAATTTTTCTTTCGTTTCCGTGTGTCTTTGGAGCAAACGAATAAAAAGCCACCGAAAGAGTCGAGCCGAGTTTCTCGAACTCTCTCGGAGCTCATTTCGCGAGAACGAATAAAAGTAATTTCCTAAAGAGCCACCGATTCTATCCATCCGCGAATTTCGAGTCTGGATTCCCCTCTCTATCTACCGTACACACAAGCACGGCCAGACACGTGCACAAATTCTCCCCTCGTGGATTATCTTGGTATCTGGTTGTCCGGGACAAGGGTCTCCGTAGTCTCCGTAGTCTCCGTTTTCATCTCCGTCTTTGCCGGAGCCCCGTTTAAATACGATCCTCGATTCCGCGACTATCTCTTCCTCTCCCCTTCTCCCTCAAAATTTATGGCCTCGTTGCGATCTCTCGTTATTCGCCGTCTCCTCGCCATTTCTGCCCACCAATTGAAATTCTTCTTTTGTGGAACACGGTGTGTTATCGGTGATGCAAAAAGTTACATACCGCGCGTTATCGTTTACTCGTATTCACGAAAACATGTTTTCACGTATCGCGAGAATGAAATGAAATTCTCGATAGGATCGTTAGACTGCGGATTCGAACATTAATCGAACGATCGATTCGCCGTACTATTTTGCTGTTCCAGACGTTTCCATGGAACCGTTGGACGCGATCGTTTCCTGCGGTGTTGAGAAATTTTTTAAAGGAAGGTCGAAATATTCGAACAATGTAACGTCTCCTACAAATCCTAGAATCTCGGATTTTTACCTAGGGATTATTTCTTCGCTTTGTTTCTATACCGTTAAAGGCGTTATGAAAATTTTAACAAGTTTATTGTACGACTCTACGATTGCCCCGACGATACGACCTCTCCTTAGATTCGATGATATAGTATCGCGTGATTTAATCCTAACGTCGACACGAAGAAATCCAGTTGTGGCTGGATACGAAAGCGGATAAAGCGCGGTTTAATCGAGGCCTGTATTAGTTGAGCGAGTCAGACCGCGTACCCACGTTCCCCAACGATGCTTGCAATTAAACATGCTTTACCGCACGGATTAATGAAATTACTCTTGGAAAATAAGACGACACGGTCCGTCGCGCGTCGCGCGTCGCGGTCGCGGCAGCTTTGGTCAATTTCGACAATTATACAAGGAATTTTTCTTCTTACACGAGCAACGCACGGTTGCTTCCTGTCAACTTTTATTCACCGTCCTTTCAAGTGTCCACGTGGAAACATTCTTCGCGAAGGAAGAAAGAAATATACGATAGATAGTAGGCGGGAACTGGCCGGGGCATCGCGTATTTCGCTAAAATAAAACGTATGTAACATTCTTATTGTTTGACGTAATGCCGTGGAATAATAGTTTCCTCGCGAAAGAGAAAATTATACATCTTTCCATAGTCTATCATTTTTCCGTAGCACGTTTACCACTGTTTCGCTTACGTTCCCTTTTTTGTCTCTACACAGGTTTCCACGTTATTTATCACCAAACGTTGTCGTCATTTATCACTAGATCGTATTACTCGAGCACAGCCCCGACGAGGTTGGGACAGCCGTAGCCGGTTGGTTACTCGCTTTCGAGCGAAACGACTTTATGAAAAATCTGTTGGAGGGGATCTCGTTTCCTCTCGTAACCGGAAGGCCCGAGATCGATGAAACGACTCGGGCCGTATCGATTCGACGATTCGGTCGCGTGCGCGACGAGTTAGGGAGGCTTGGAAAAATGTTGTCGGAGCGTTGGAAAAGGTTAGCGACGTACATCCTTAAGCAGGACTCGATTAAAGAGACAACGGGGATCGTTGGAATAACGTTGACAATTTTCCGGTTGTGGAAAATTTATTTCAAGAAAGAATTTTCGTGTTCCAACTTGTTGTCTCGGTAGGTTTCGCGAATATGTGCAGCGTCGCGTATAATTAAATTCGTGTTATTTGCATGCCTTCCGCTTTCTCCTGTACCTTCGTCGCCAATTATTCACGGTGCATCCATTCGCGAAACGCCAACGTCGGATGCTCGTCGGTGATTTGTCGCTTCAGGGTGAATGCGTCGCAATAAAACAAAGACTTTTCGATTGTTTGAACCACCGTAACCGTCGCCGTCACCGTTGGCGCGATATCGTACGTCGTACACAGTACGTTGGACTAATCGAAAATACTTGTTCGATCGTCCGGACCATGGCAAGTCTTTGGCAAGTCGCAGTTGGCTCGATCGAACGATTCGTTTGGAATAATTTCCGAAACGACGCAGACGTTGCTCGGAAATTTTCCGCAGCACGGTTCTTCTCGGGAAATTGATCTCCGTCTAGACGGATCCTCGATCGCGGAGATTACTTTGTGATACCCGACAGCGATTTAATAGGACCCTCGAGCCCTCGAGGCCACGGACTTGGTTCGTTTCGTTTCGACGCGTACCGTCGGCGTCGGCGTCGGCGTCGGTATCGCGTCGTCGATGCAGCTGGCGCTTATTCTCGCGTGTCTTCAGAGAAACTGTTTTCCGTGGAAAATAACGTTACCGTTTGCTAAGAAATCGGAAGAACACGAGAATCGATTATTGTCGATTATCACCGTTTGAACGTAAGGTGGGTTGGGGATTTCGTTTAATCTCGAAACTCGATTGATAGAAGAGAGTATAGTGGGAGAAAAACTCGACTCGACTCGACTCACCTTCTAAAATCTCTGCTCCAGCAAGCGTAAATAACTGGATTCATTCCACTGTTGATCCAACCGAGCCACGTGACGGCGGCAAACACGATTTCCTCCTGCCATATGCATTGCGTGCAAAAACCCGACCAAAGGTTCACGACGAAAAACGGCAGCCAACAAATGATGAAGACGCCCATCACGATCCCTAGAGTTTTGGCGGCTTTCTTCTCCTTGGCGAATTTGGCTAGCTTGCGCGAGAGGGAAAAATTTTTTCCCAAATGCTGCTTCGTGATCCTCGTTGATGGTACTCTGGTTAGACAGTTGTTCTGTATCGCCGTCAGCGGTTCCTCGAGATCTTGCAGATCCTCGGGTGTGCTCGAAGCGGTCCGGAAGAGATGCCTAGCGTCCGTGTTGGTCCCGCCCCCTCGATGTATCCTCAGAGTGAGCTCCAATTCACCGGAGGCCATGATAACCTGTTTGGTGCCCAGCTTGAGGCTTCTCGTTTGAATCACGGCGGCTCGGTAGATTTTGTAATAGGTGAACACCATCACGAATAACGGCACGTAGAAGCTGATAGTGGAGGAGAAAATCAGGTAGCCCAGGTGCTCGGTAAATGGACACTTGTCCTCCGGCACCTCTTCCGTTCTTACCGCCCTCCACCAAGCGATAGCCGGAAACGAGATCGCGCTCGAGCAGATCCAGACGATGCCGATCAAAATAGCGGCCCGTCTTCTGGTCATTCTTCTCGGATAAGTAAACGGATCGGTGACCGCCCAGTAACGGTCTAGGCTGATGACGCACAGGTTCAAAATGGACGCAGTCGAGAAGAGCACATCCAACGATCGCCAAACGTCGCACCAGTCGTGCGTGAACAGCCACCGGTTTTCCAGCACCTCGTAGATCGCGCTGAACGGCATCACCACCAGCCCGACTAGGCAGTCTGCGAACGCCAACGACGTGATGAAATAATTGGTTGCCGTGTGAAGGTATCTTTCCCTGACCACCGCCAGGATCACCAACGTATTACCGAATACGGTGGCCACCGAGAATACGAACAAAACTATCGCTAAACCGGCTCTGTCCGTGGCTAGGTTCCACAGATCCTCGTAACTGCTATTCTGCGACGGATAGCTGCCGCTGTAAAAGCTTCTGTTCAGCTGTTTACTCGGCACGATTACCTCTTGTTCCGATCCGAGTAGGTAGACCGCGCTTTCGTTCATTTTTTGTCCTCGCGAGACCCGGCCAACGCTCTCGCGCGCTTTTTCATTCGCAGCTCACGCTCCTATCAGCCTATCAGTCTATCAGACTATCAGACTATTAAGCCGCCCGTGCCGATTCCTCCAAGCCACCTTTCCTTCTCCTGATTCCTCTCTCTCTTTCTCTCTCTCTCTGCCGTCTCATTTTCTTTAGCGAATTACAAATTCGACTCTATACGCGCACGCTTTCTACGCGAGCATCGAGTCTCCAACTTTTCTTATTCGCAACAACCTCCTCGATGAACGAGTTTGCTGTTTCACTTTGGCACGCTTTTCTTTTCTTTTCTTTTTTTTTAACCAGCAACGGCGCGGCGTCTTCTGGACCCGATCTGAAACAAACGAAAAGGTTCGTGATAGCACGAGCTGTCTTCTATTTCTGTTCTAGGAATCGAGCAAGAAAAAATATCCGCGTCTCGTTGGCTAAAATGCTCGAAAAATGTTTCTGTTCCCCTAATTATCGATCATTCGACATTCGACAGTGCTGGTTGCTCAAACGACGCCGACGCCGACGCCGTCGCCGTCGCCGTCGCGTAACTGCAAACGATTTAGCAATTTTTTTAGCGGCGTACAATACATCGCGAGACTATATTTAGCGGCGAGAAGCGTGGATAAAGAGGCGGGAGAAACCAGTGGAACGGAGGGCTCTCTGATTTCGTGGCCAGACCGAAGCTTGGAAACACGGACGGGCTTTCATCCGTGACCTGGGCGAATGTTTACCGGTACTTGATCAAAGGGGTTGTTTCGATCCTCGAACGACCGATGCTGGGATGTAGCACGGGTTAGTCGGGTAAACACCGAGCCTCGGATTTTGTCTCGTTCACACCCCTTCTACGTCATCGTAGCCGTCGGCGTCGGCGTCGCCGCGGCGCGGCGCGGACGCGGACGCGGGCACGGCGACGCGTTTGTCGTCGTAACACGTGTCAGGGCCGATAAACTTTGCATCATCGTTGCTGGCTGCCGCGCGTCTTTTGTATTTTCATGTTTCGTGTTTCGTACGGGAATCGAACGATTCTTTTGCGCCGAAAACAAGTGAACCTTGTTTATTCTTCGTTCGCGATATTCCCCGCTACCCGAGAGAAATCAATTTTTCGATACAGTTTCGTTCCTTCGGAGAACCGTTCCGTTTTCGTTCGACTCGTACATATTTCATCGCGATAGATTCATATATTCCGGCGCCGGCGGAATCCTTGTTCCTTTGCGATTAATGGAACGCGTTACTAAAGTTTGCCTACTGGTTGTCAGACATCGGACAGCTTTTCGCGAACGGTTACTAGAACGACTTACGCCGTCGGCTGAAACGTATCTACCAATCTCGCGTTAGAATGGACTCGAAATTGCAATTTCTAATGCGCACGCGTGTGCAATGTACATGTAGATGTACGTGGTGCGAGTGCTCGTAAAGTGACGCTCAAGTACTCGAGCTCGCTCGGATACCTTCGAGAACACTTGTCGAAAGTTCGCGGTACCGTAAACCGTACCATTGAAGCTTACTCGATTAGGACTCGATTAGTTGGTAAATCGACGAAATACCACGCGGTTTCGGATTATTCGGCGAATCGCTTTCAAGTCGACCGTAACTTGACGTAAGTACGCGTGCAAGCAATGGTGTATTTCGAGAGTTGTCTCGGTTGAAAACTGTCGCGCGCCATTCAAAAAACTGACGTATCGGTCGATCCGATTCTTAAATAGTAGTCGCGCGTTTCGTTATTCGTTTCAAGTTTCAAGGGGGTTCTCGAACAATTTCAATTAATCCACGTCCGCCGCGCCGAGTCGAGACAGCATCGAAATTCCGATCGTTGCCACGACCAACTAATTAAATCGCGATCAAGGGTCGGGAGAAACTAGCTCCAAGTTACGAGAAACTTTACTCGTACTCGCTTCGGCGAATCGTTTTCGATTTTATTTGAAATTCATTTATACGCGTACATCGTCTCGATAAGTATTCTTGCGTAATCGCGAACGCCTCGCTCGAGTCGTTTACATCTTGAAATGTACGTTTTATGCTGTCGGCAGTCGTTTCGACGATATTCGCGCAAATCGTTTAAAATGCAACGCTCTTGTACATACAGTATAGTACGTTGCTCACCGAGAAACAGAGATTCCGGACGAGTAAATCGAACAGCGAACAGACTCCCGTATCGCAAATCTTCCCGAGCACCGGTGTATTTCACGGTGGACATTTTCGACGCTCCAGACATTTTCGTTGCGATATTCTTGTTTATATGTCGCTGTTTGAGCTATTCCATTAACTTGGACCCGCGTTCAATGTTGCGCACGGTTCTTCCTTTTCCCTTTTCGCTTTTCCTTTTTCCCGTTGACGTTCGACGCGTTCGGCCAAACTATCAGATTCTAATTCACCGAATCGTCGAGTCTCTTTATCGGCGACAAACACGAACGTGCATTCTGTCAACTTTTGAGAAACGATCGATTCGTTTCATCGGGATACCTAGGTTTCTTCTCGTTGGTATTCGCGGCATATGCGAGAGTAGCACGAGCAGCTTTGCTGCGAAAAAATGTCTCTTTCTCTCTCTCTGTCAAAAGCAAAATCTTTGTCGGGGTTTTTCTTCTTTGTTCGACGTCGACGTCGTCTCGATAATAGAAACGATTCGATAGGGTGTAGTCTATCTTGAGAGTATACGCGTGTATTTCTCAGCTATTCTCTTCTAGAGTTTGTCGATTCTCGAATGCAAGCGAATCTTGGCAAATGTTTCGAGATCGTGTGCCGAAAGCACCGTTATCGATCGATTTACAATCGAGTCGATTCTAAACACTGTATCTTTTTGTTCTCGCAGAAATACGATAAAAATTGCTGGTAAAAATTTGGTAAACACGAACGGCCGCGACGCGAAGCGCCAAAGTTCAAAGTCTGTGTTTACCCTCAGGATTTCCGACTTGATTTTATTTACTCCCGTTGACGTGTAAATAGCCAAGCAAATTAACGATCGCATCGATCGAGTTCGCGCGCAAATTTATCCCAAGCTGTTCCGTCCGCGACGCTGCGCTGGCCCTATCGATTATTTTCAACGGTACCTATCTGCCTGCCCACTTTTATACATACAGTTATACCGTAGATACATTCGTTCGACTAACAAGTATCATTTTTTCATATGAAAAGTCCTATAGCCGAACACTCGATTAAATTAAGAAGAGAAACGATGATACGTAACTCGAACGCCCCGTCGTTCGAAGGGTGCAGCCGATGCCAAACCGTAGGACGCGTATTCTCGCACTTTTGCGAACAATGTCACCAAGAATTTATAACAATTACTGCGCCAACTATGAATTCAAACTCGTCGCGTTGCTTTGCCTGACCCTTGCGAGTTTGAACGTGTGTGTACGTGTGTGCACGTGTGTGCGAGTCGATTTTGGGAACTCGCCAGCATTTTCAGCGATTTCTTCCAACGTTGCGAGTGAAAATGAAAATGAAAATGAAAATGAAAATGCTGAAGCTGAAATTTACGAGGAAAACTTGCCACTCCTTCGATCGCATTCCCCTTTATCTCTTTCTCTTTTCGCTTCGTTTCGATGTCGCGCTAATAATCCACGATTCGATAAATAATCTGGAAAACTCCATTTCTTTTCAATGTTATTGGATCGTATTTGATATCAAGGCCATATTGCCCGTAAATAAAGTATTAATATTATTAAAAAGTGTGCAACGATAGGAGATGGTTTCTAAAGTTTTCTTTTTTTGGATACAAAGTTCGATCGGAACTAGGACTTGATCGGAATGCAGAAATATATCGAGTCGGTGAAGTGAAATTTTAGTTCCGTCCACAAACACGATTTTCATTGACGTAAATCGATATTCGTTTATGTAAATATCGTCGAGTCGTTAACGAGTTTCTGAATGTTTCACTTGTTGCTTATGGTATCTGTCCGAATTCGAGACCACTGATACACCAGTTGCCAGGCGAAGAAGGATCGCTCGTGGATCGAGACTGTCTTGGTCGCATGCGAATGCTGTTACTCGATAAAGAAATAAAGAAATATTTTGTACAATTACGTATGTTTGTTGTCGTTGTCTTTGACGCGAACACGAGGATTACGGGATCTTGAATGTCGCGCAAGCAATTCTTCGCAACTCGAACGGTGGCAAACTGCAATCCTCGCTACCGTTCGAGATCGTTTTAATTAAAACGTAATTGTTCGCGCGAGCTTAAGCCAATCAAGCCCGAGCACAACAGTTGTACGCAACCCGGCCAACTATTTCCATTTACGAGTGTATCTCGAATTCCTGTGAAATATCGAGGCTTGGTTCGATGCGGAAAATTTCCACCGCTGAGTCGCAACGTTTCCTCTGTACAAACTCCGGCACAGTTACCCCGATCCTACCGACAAAAACAGTAAATCGTTTAATCGCATTTCGATTCCGTCGAAAGAAATCAATTATTTGGCCCATCGACCAATTGAATTCCTGCCTTGGCGCATATAGGATGTCGAACCATTCTTGCACGAGGCTCTCATTGTCAGAGCGCCGCGAATACCTAAAAACGCGAAACTTTCGAACATGAAATGCGATCGGTTGTAAACGAATAAAGCTCGTAATACGAGAGCGAGCAACAAATATCTCCGAGGGGCTGCTAAGAATCGGATTAACAACCAGACGCATAATAGCGAACTTTGTTTTTCTATCGCGCACCATTTCCCGAGTTGTCGGCTTACGGTTTTATTTACGGTCTGTTCCGAAACGCACACCACGACAGCTATTCATGGTCGTCCATCGATTATTAGTTATCATCGTTGGCAACGAACACAAGCGCACCATTTCGACTATGCACGCATCGCGCTCGATATCGTTGTTGAACTTGATCGTCACGTAACAGACGAACGAGATCCGTTACGAGATCTGTTAGCTACGGATACCAGCCAAACTACGATATTCGCTTTCTCCCGACTAATGCGATATTCTTTGACGGAGACGTTACGACTGTTACGAGTGATGGGACGTGAATATAAATTGGCGGCGTGGCATGGCAACGTTCGTGGCTGACCAATATCGGTTGTTACTACTCGCGAGCCCGCGTGTCCCGACTCCCGCGGTAAGAACGAGAAGCGATCGCGTTGAAAAGTTTTATCACCGAATCAATGGCCGCGTTTCTTTATAACCAACGCGATGGAATTTCAAGTTATTTTCGTTCGTTTGATTGACTGCGCGATTGCGTTTAAAGACAAACATGTCAAATGTAAAGGTTTCCCCGATCGAGAACTTTGAAATTTCAACGACGCGACGCGACGTAACGCAACGGTACGCGTACATCAAGCATTCGTATTTCCACTGTGACTCGTTTCGCGACTTGTTGCGATCGCTTGGCAAATCCATGACAAACAAACGGCCACGGTGTATACGTGTGAGTTTACGAAATTCTCCTTCACTAATAGTTGAAAAACGCTTCGTCTTTCAGAGTTGACATTCGTTCTCTCCAAAGATGGAGCTAAACTCTCGAAAGCTCTAAATTTCTAAATCTCGCAACTTTGTCACCGATGTAAGATTACGCGTGTGCGCGAACGAGCTGTTACCGTAAACCGTGTACGTAATTATTTGCACACCTTGGAAACTGTGCTTTTTATAAACGACCTTTTTTTTCCTCGGTCGGCTGGCCGAGGTCGTGGAAGGCGTAACCGCGACCACCTCTGGAAAAATTATTCGCCGAGTAACAAAGCGAGTATACGCTCGTCAGGCGAGTCACGCACCCTTACGCCGCGCGCCACACCGGTGCCGATGCCGATGCCGATGCCGGCCACCTTACGAAACCGTAACCATTGCTTTATTGCGAGACTTGACGAGCTCTAACTTGTAAGTTTCCTTATCGCGTGTCCGTAATTAATCCCGTTAACTAAACGACACGATTTTCATCGTACTTTCTTACAACGAGTTTCACAAAAATTTTCAAACTCCGCCAACGTTTGACCCATCAACTATAAGATACGATATTCCGTTCTGCTGCGAATGCTCAACTATTCGTTCGAGATCGGAGAAAGCAACCTAATCGATGATGCTCGCCACCGTAGAAACTAAAAACTAAATATCGATACAACTTTTATGGAGATTTAAGAATGTTCAAATTGATTTCGCCGAATGGATCCGAATTGTGTCGCGTATCGTACTCAGGAAACGATAATAGGAACGTGTCTGGGGCGCAAAGTCGTTACTTTCGACGGAAGGTGAAAAGGGGTGAAGGTCTGATTCGTGTACCAACCTAATTCCCATTCTATCCGCGCTGTTTGCAACAATATCCTTTGGATGCACGCTTATAAGGTACAGATAAGAAAAGCAAAACGAACGGAAAATGAGATAGGAATTCGAGCCGATTTGCATAGGCGAGTATTCTTACGCTATACATAGGTGTAGGCCGTTCGTTGGTTTCCGTTTCGTTTAACGTTACGATCGAGGAATTGCTCGACACTTTTCTTTTCCTCTCCTCTTCTCTTTTCTTCTCATCGTGGAACTCGATCTAGTCGTTGCTTTAAAATAAAGAGCTGGAACGAAGCATCAAGATCCGATCGAGTGGATAAACTTTAGAGTTGGCGACGGCTTCGAGAAACTTGTTTAGCGTGGTCGAAAGTTTACGCCGAACGATCAGTATACGGAAAGTAAGTACAAGTAACAAGAGAGGTGAAAATAATCTCGTCCAAGGTTCGAGTAGTCACCGACACGAACCTTGGTATCGTGTTCGTTTAAAATGATCGGGTAAACATAACTGGCATAGCTGGTTTAGCTATGAAATGGTTTATCCATTGTACGTCGACAATTTCTTATTCATCGAATGATACACGATTCATCGTTAACTCGCGATAAAGCAAAGAGACATACCATGATTCTGCACAGTTGGAGAATTCCGAGGCGGTGATTACGACACCGTACAAAGTTAGCCAATCTATCGCTGTACCAGCCGCAGAACCTTTCGAAGATGACGTTGTTCGTATCTAAGCCTAGCTTAGTGTTTCGAGGGAGTTTGTTTTTCTCCTCTGTTCGCGATCATCTCTCGATTTACGTGTCCAAGATCCGTCGCATAGAGATGCTCACGTCCACATGGTTCGAGAACGGGTCTCTCTCTGAAGCTTCGAACCGAATCCATTGATGCGACGGCCACGCTATCGTCGTTTTTCGTCGATTTTCGTCGTTTGCTCTTTGACGAAAAAGTTGCTGCGTAGAACGTACCGTCGAAGCTCGCGAATTCGGTACTTTTACCAACAAGAACAAGAACTAGAACGAGAACGAGAACGAGAACGAGAACGAGACGCATCAAATGGTTGCCTCGATGGTTTCGCGTGTGCGTAACAGCCAGTCAAGAGCCGGCGATTATCGGCTGTTAAGGGAACCGTTGCCATTAACGAGGGATCTACGAGGCTCGATTACGCTAGTGCCAATTGAGAGATTGACCGACCGGCTGTTCCTCGCACACCGGAAGTCATCCAGTGTCAATGGCCAAGCGTCGCGTCGGCCCGGTTCATCACCAGGCTGTTTTATGCTATCGCTTTCGATGGATTTCCATTTCCACTTTTACTTCGCTGTGGAAACCGTCATCTATTCTTGCGACATACATATACGTATAATGTATGCAAAGAAGCGAGAATAGAGTGTCTACCGGTAGGGCTGCGTCACGCTCCAAACGGTTAACGAAAGCTTCTCGAGGAAATATTTTCAAATCTGCCACTATATTATTAATAGTCTCGGATACTGGAGCTCGAGTCACATAAATTTCACGCGATCAAAATTTCTATTCCCTGTTGGCGGTATATGGCTGGCGTTGGCCCGCGTATCCGTATATTATGCTTTATCGGCTATCGAACGGGCCAGGAAAACCTTGCGAGCCTCGAAACTCGAAACTCCGTTTCGCGTAGACCCTTCGCGCGGAAAATTTGCCCGTGTCGGATGTGGTGCGAAAGTTTGCAGTGCAAATTTATAAGTTGGCGAGTTGCGTTGCGTCAAGACGTTTACAAGCAAGTCCCGAGGATATACAGGATGCGAATAACGTATACGTGTGTAAAGCTGAGTGGTTAATCGTATCTTGGATCGAATCGGCCGCGACGGCAAACATTTTTCGGGGCGATTCTTGGATCGACGGCACTCGAAAATCACTTAACCCGATTGGCTCCCATTCCCAACGATATTAGCCCGATCTCGCTTAATGGAACCACGAAAACGTTTCTTCCCATCGCATCGATGTCGCGTCACCAAGTTTCGGAATCGATGCGCTATCGTCGCGAAAAATCTGGACCGCCATCGTCGAGAGCACTCGATGGGATGGAGCGTAAAAGGCAGCCAGCCACCCTCTACCCTTCCGATCACGAACAATTTTTTCGGGTTTGATTTCGGCTTCGAGATTCGTAAACAAATCGTCGTCTCATATCGAGTATTTTTATTTCCCTTATGGAAAAGATTAACGATTAAACGATTGGTTTGGTGATTGAGAGGTTGGAGAAAGGTCCACGGCCGTTACGCGTACGCGCCCCTCGAGAATAAGATCTCCGCAAAGAAAGCCAGCCGACTCGACTCGACTCGACTCGACTCGACTCGACTCGACTCGACTAGACTCGACTTATTGTCAGCTCGGCTCGACTTTGCGTTGCAGAAAAAATAGGGTACTCGTCGAGCGTTACCTGTCTTCGAAATCCTGTGGATTGCGTTATTCGGCCTTCGTTGTCTCTCGAGATGTTTGCACTGGACGGATGTATCGTTTTGGAAGGAGGAAAGTATTTTAGTTCCGTGGTAATGGCCTCGCGATTACGGTATACGGTATTCACGACTATATTTTTCAATTGGAAAATTGGCTATTCATTCGGCACAAAGAACCCAAACACTACGATCACCGACGATCAACGGTTCTCGTCTCGGTCAACACACGCGACACCTACGTAGCGCACATTGCGCGTCCGATCGTGCTTTTCCACATGGTAACTCGATAATCCCACTCGAGATAACGCGTCAATCGGAGACGAATTAGTCGATCTAAACGCACCGTATTTGCACGCGGACAAATGTCTCCGCAAGCTCTTCCGGTTGCCCTCGAGATACATACGAGGTTTTCCGACGAGAGTCGAACGACTCCTCTCCAACCTCGATCCTCGCACCCAACTTCCGTTCGAAATAATCTCTCGTATCCGTTTCGCGATTCTTTCTTCGTTCACCGTTTTCCGATGTCCTCCTGTTTCTGGTCCATCTCGTTGGCGACGCGTCTTTCGCGTTTCTCCCTCCTTGAACAACACCGAACGTTACGATATCGCGCGGCAAGGGTTGACCGGCGCGACGCGGCCGTGGCCGTGGCCGCGGCCGGCCGATAACAAGGAAATGAGCTCGAAAGAGGATTTTCCATCGACGCGATTCAAATAGAAATACAAATTGCTCGTGCTTGTTCGTCTAGTCGTGTTTCTGTATTTGTATCGCGCAGTGGTTCCTCTACTCCTCGACGATCGAGCATCGAAACGCATACCGATTCTGGCCAGTTTCGACGAAGAATAAATCTGATTCGGAGCAGGCGGAGCAATTCGAACGCTTACGCCCTAACAATGTTACATTTCGAAAGGAACTCGGAACGAAACCGAGGCTCCGATCCATTTATCGATTTCCACTCCGCGATAAACCTTTCGGTGGGGCCTCGCGGAACGCCGCGTAACGAGCAAGCGGGAAAATTTCTCGGACGAGTAGAAAACTTTTCGTGGAAACTTTAGTCTCGGCGAAACGACTCGAAACGAAATAAAACTCGAGTATCCACCGCGATTTCTTCTTCTCGTGATATTTTGGATCTTCCATCCAAGACGTTTTAAACTTGAAACGTACAAACTATCCGTTATTCCGATTCCGAACAAAGTTTTGCTTCGAACACGCGACGGACAACCGATCTCAACACGAGAATAAACATCGACGAGCAACCGAGTCTCGGTCGTCGCCGTCGGAAGGTTGACCGATCTCGAGAGATTCTCGGTAAATAGGCCGATCACGATAAGAATCAAATTGTTTGCAATTAACGAAAGAACGTTAACCATTTGGAGTGTAACGCTACGCGTTTGCGCGACCGCGAGGTTACACGATTCGTCTCGATCCACGCTAAACGTTCAATCTTGCACGCGTAAAAAAAAATTGTTACACGAGGAGCTAGGAGTAAGGGACGTTTGGTCGAAAAACGGCTCGTACGATATCCGAGCTAGTCCAGAATTGATTGGCCTCGTCGCCGTCGAAGAAAAGGTTTGCCTCGTGCCGAAGAAACCATTCTCCGTCGGGACCTCTCCGCCGAGAAGCACGTTGATCATTCGTCGTTTCTCGTCGCGTAACCGCTCGTGCGCGTTATATCCGATCGCAATGTGCTCAAGGTCGCTCGATCCTCGAATCGCTTTGCGTCAGCGATGCCGCGAAATTTTCCCGAATCGCATCACATCGGAGTCGTCCTCTGTCGTTTTCATCGGTGACGTCGTTGTCGTCGTCGTCGTCGTCGGATCGCGACGACAGACCATAGGACAAGTTTCAGGGTCACATGTCGGAATGGACGATTACCTCTGGATTTAACCCGTATTAGTACACGACGCGATTGTTCGGATAACTCGCGACGATGGGAAAAACAGAGAGTCGAAGTAGCAGGTGGAAGTGATGGTATTGGTGGAAAAATCAAGCACACGCGCGTACACACATGCACAGAGAGAGAGAAAGAGAGAGAGTGAGTGAGTGAGTGACTGAGTGACTGAGTGAGTGAGTGAGTGAGTGAGTGAGTGACTGAGTGAGTGAGTATGTGTGTGTGAGAAAGAGAGAGAAAGAGAGAGAGAGGCGCGCGCGGAAAGAGAAAGAGAGAGAAAAAAAGAGAGCTGGACTCGCGATTTTCGTCCTCGAGGGCGCCGGGACGTGTTTCGCGATTTGAGAGGAGCGACTGGTGCCGCCGCGTGGCCCCAAACCTCTGTTCCCATTGGCGCTTGCGCTTCGCGTGCAACAGCACCCTCACCGCGACGCCCTTTCCATGCTCACGCAATAGGGCGTCTCACTGCACCTTTTTCCCACTGTTCCTTACTGCAGGCGCCACGAACATATAACATATTTTACTTGTCTTTATCATCCGAGTATTTAAAAGCTTTTAACAAGGTTTATCGATGTTACGACGTTGCGACGTTGCGTTGCAAAAATGAACGGATCCGTCTATTTTCTGAACATGGAAAGAGTAGGCAATAATGCCAAGTATATATCGGTGACTTGCATCGCCAAGACTTTAAGACCATCGCATCGATAGAGAATTTTTAGACAGATGCGTCGAGAGTGTACGTTGGCTCGTAAGGTACGTCGAGCATTCTCTAATCGCTGACCATACCGTCTGCTGATGCTACTCCTATTTACTATAGACGTTAAAGAAAAGTTGAACCGCTTCGTTGATTCTTGTTCGCGTTCTTTAACGTTCCATCCGTAGAATCATCATCCGTCTGGTGCTTTCGGACATCCGTTAGGACAGTTTTACGTGATCGTTATACCGCCGCGCCGCGGTTATTCGCTTCGTTACAAGTTTCCCGACTTTGGGAAGAAATTTATGACGTGCATCGGGGGTTATCGATATCGCGGCATCTCGTCGCATCGTTAGCGCTCCATCGCGTCATACTCTTTTACCCTTGTTAACGATACCGATTTCTTAAACGCTAAGGGTAAACTGGAGCAAACCGATCGGTTTCCGAACGATCTGCTTTATTTCTTAAACGCTTCCATCCTGAATTTTCTTTGTCGCCAAACAGTCGTTCCGTTTATGTTACGAGACAACGACAAACGAATAAGGTTCGTAAACGAATATCTTTGTTCGCCAGTACGATAATTGCGCGGTAGAACTCTGATTGGTTGTTCGTTATCGTCGAGTAAATTTCCGTTTCCTTTGAATATGGATCGTTTTCGAAATTTTAAGGAACTGCCGAATATTTTCAATCTTCCGTTTCGAGGAAAACGTGCTCCTGGAGTTTCCATCTCCGCATTTGTCTCGTTTCATCTGTTTCATCGGTCCGATTGTCTCGGTGCCGAGTCGCTTTCACGGTTCTCGCATTCCTCGGTATCTTTGCACTCGCCTCCGAAACACATCGGTATCTTTTTCGCAATGTTGACGCACGGCACTTTTTCCTGCGTTGCGAAGCCTGATAACAAACACAATTCCGGTTAAGGAGGTTGCCGAAGAAAAAAAATCGAGTAAATTGCGCTTATGTTTAGTAATCGATTAACGCGCGAGAAAATGTTTGCGGCACGTTATCCAGTTATCCGCTGAAGAACGCGCGCAGACGGTTGTTGGAAATCTCGTCGAGATCGATGTGACCGTGTCGGTGGCTGCGTAATAGCATTTTTCTCGCGAATTATATCACGGTGATTAGTTTTAGTCGTAGAGTACGAAAAGATAGACTATATCCGGTCTCGATCTCGATCTCGATACCGAAAAATGCACACCACAAATCTAAGGACAACCTTCCGCTGTCGGATCGTATCGCATATTTGGGACACCCCCTACAGCAGTATTTTCCAAACTGCTCGCGACCCATCGCATCGGTGGCTCGTGAAATCGATATAGTGGGTTGCGACGACCGAAAGAAGATACGGTATAGATGTACAAGTGTTTGGTATACTTTGCTCGAGAAACTTGCAAATAATGTAACTCGATCTCTGGAGTGTGTCTCAAAGAGGTACCCGATACCGATTACAATTCGGTGTGTTTAGATCGAAATTTTCGGATTCGTTGGAAATATGATGGACCTTACCAGCCATTTCCAAGGGGTAGCTCGTCATTCCAGACTGGCTGTAACCATAACCAGAACCGGAACCGGAACCGGAACCGGAACCGTAACCACAGCCGACCGGTGGTGTTTTTTCGGACGGTCGATTTTCCGGTTCCGGTTCGGTCGAACAGCAGCTAATTTGATTGCAGCAGCCTCCGCCGCAGCAACCTTGCCTCCAAGAACAACAGCTGTCACTGGCACCAGCACTGGAGCTTCTCCTGTCGTAAATAGCGATAATGGTTCGTTATCTCGGACAAATTTATACTGTTGTTCCCGTAAACGCTCCTAGCCTAGAGGAATATCGAAAGGAATCGTAAAACGTAAAGAGTCTCTCACAGTGTGTCGCTGGTCGTCGGCCTTTTCTTCGGCTGATACGTAGTCGATCCTCCCAGCAGCGATTTATACGTACTGAAAGAAGGCACGATTAACCATTTAAACGATTCGGAGCAAAAATATGCAACAAATTCCGGCTAGACGGCCATCGATTGATCGGGCGAGCTATTTATTTCGGACAAATCTTAAAGATGGAAATTCGATAGAGAAAATAGCAAAAATTATTTGCGTAATCAAGTATATGTACATATGTACGGAGTTACCTGCAATGCTCGCACATTATACTCTGGCAATTTCGATGTTGTCCGGAATATACGATCGTAAACAGTTACGACTGCATCTACGCTTATCGATCAAATTAAACGTCGATGTATAAATGCCAATTTGCTGTGTTCATTGCATTCGTATCCTACAGGCTATATGTGTATACGTAACAGGTGATCGTTATTCACCGTATGTATGTATACAATTATCGTTTCGGCATCAAGCGAGGAAAAAAAAAAAAGACATTCGAGGATTCGACAAAATCATCTTTGGTTCAAAGGTGAACATTTTCACGTTCGCGATATTCTAGCATAAAGAGCAAAGAGAGAATGAGAATAGCGGTAAACATTCGAATCCGATATCTTACACGTGTAATTGTGTACGACCAATTTAAATAAATTTCGAAACAACGCATATTTAAATATTACGAACGAAAGTTTGTATCAAAGTTATGATATATTACATAGATATAAAAGAGATGTCGAAATAAATTTTCCGTGCGAGAATAAACGGTTCCGATTCTCGTCGATTTTATTTTCTATCGGCGCAACACCTCGATGGAGCCTCCGGTTCCTTCGACTTTCCTTTATCCTTGCAGCAACCGGACATGCAACAACCACCAGCCGCTTCCCTCGCTCTGAAAACAACACGTTTTCAACAACAACTAAATGTACGAATTTCAACAAAAAAAATTATGAGAGATCGCGACACGTTGGTTACTTTGTTTGGAATTAGTAAATTAGTAAATCGATAAACCCGTATGGCCGCCAAGCTCGGTGTTCAACTCTATAACGTTTACCCGTTGTTGTTCGAGCCGTTCGTGGGTCAACCTTCTTTAAGGCGATCCGACTAGAAAATTCAGGGCTGGTTACTTTCCATCAGCGCAACAATGCTTTGGTTCCTTTGGTGCACCACCTCTGGTACAACAGCCGCCTTCTTCCTGTGTTCCGGCACAGCAATTGGAACCGCAACATCCGCCGACTGCCTTTTTCTCTCTGCACACATTCGGTCGAGTAATTCGGTTAACCCATAGTTGACGTTGGACTCGCGATCTTTCAACCCTGACACTCTGCCTCGTCTCGTCTAGCCACGTCTCGTTCGAAGCAAATCACTTAAAAGTCATATCGGTAGATACCACGCGAACAAATATTTTTCTACTCGAGTGTAAACAATTCTTTGATTAGCCCTTTTTCTTAAATTCGTTCGAGTAACACGTAAAACATTTGTTTCGCGTTCTCGCGACTAGAAAACGATTCGGTACACGCCCTGTTGGTCATTGAACACAGTGCGTAATTTGGTATACTCGTAATTATCTACTGTCGAAGAAATACATATTCGGGATGAACGTTGCTAGTTTAATCGTAGCATCGTTCGCGTCGGCGTCGGCGTCGGCGTCGGCGTCGGCGTCGGTGTCGGTTTGTTGGTGGCCATACAGGTATTCGTGGTATCGAATACGTTATACGTGATATACATACACATGTACGTATCGAATTAGATATCGTATACAACTCTGCTTAACCGAAACGATGACTCGCGGTTACGCGGTTGGCCGTTATTAAATTGTAACAACCAATAACAAACATGCGAGATATAAAATTGTTCTCCCGTTTTATACACCTATGTTCGGAGGAGCAGAGTTCGTCCGATGTACATATGTAGAATATTTAGTCGCGGTACTCGACAACTAGCAGGGATCGTACTTCTTGGAGCAACATCCGCCAAAGTCCTTATCCTTGCCTTCGCCATTTTTTTTCTCGCCGCTGTGAACGTAACGCGAGAAACTTTATTATCAACGAGACACGCACGAAACGGTTTACGGTTACGAAAGATTACGCTTACTGTTCGCATTTGCACGTCACTTGACCCGCGTATCCTTTTTGGCTGGTAACTTTTCTGCAAAACAGAAAAACGCTTCGTTGACCTTTCGCGAGATTAAAATTTAACAGAATCGCTTCGACACTTACGAGCAATGATCGCACATGATGAGTTAGTTGGTGTCGTTTGGAGATTCGCGGCGATAGAACGTTTGTAATTTATTAAAATTTAATCAAGTGTAATCTTTTCAAAAAAACGGGAAATTTTGGAGTTTGTAGGTTCGTGAAAAATGTTGCTTTCGTTCGAGAAAAACAAACGCACTATGCGCTATTCTCGTTCATTCGTTTATTTTTACAGGCAGTTTTTTTTTCGATGCGTGTTCGTTCGACTTGGATCGATTGTCGATTTCGATTGCTATCATACAAAATTCGACGAAACGAAGCAAAGGCACACGTAACGTAAACAACTTATTGTGAGAATAATCTAATTGAGTTTACGATGACACGAGTACAAAAAGCATTTTGGTTGGCTGATGTACGGATTTGTATGCGTTTTCACGTGCTAAAAACAAAAACTGATTTAGTCCACCGATTACGAATCGGAACGAAAGACGTGAAATTTGGAGCACTGCAGCGTCGACGTCGGGGCCATGTTGGATTCGCTACTTTGAATTAATTCTCTGCAAACTCTCTCCGCCGCCGCCGTCGACGAGGGGATGCCATGCGATAGATTTTTGTTGAAACTAACATACATATATGGAATGGTCCGGAATCTGTGAATCACTTTATATACATATGCATATATTTAAGTGGTACGAAATTGATCACCCTGTTGCGGAGCACACGTGTATATTATTATTTTTCTGCTCTATACGCACATACCTGTACATACTATACCGAACGATGTCCGATACTAGCATATTCGAACATCAGACTGTTACGAGTCTCGAGCACTTGACTCTCGTTGCGGTAACCAGGTCACGAGATTGACCCTATATTTTCTTACGAATCGCTCGACTGTTCCATTTCATTCCTCGCAAAAGGACGTATTGCCAGCAAATACAAGATTCATTTTTTTTAAGATGCAACTTTTCGAGACACGATAGTTAGTCGATCGTACAGTGTAAATATTCGTATGTAGGCATGTACGACTGTACCTATCTGTCGAGAAACAGCGGCATTCGAAACAAACCGAGGAAATGCTTCGATCGCGCGGAGATTAAAGTCACGCGAATCAACGTTTTCCGCGCGTATTTATCATTTACCGTTTTCGATTCGAACATCGGGGTGAATACAGAATACAGAATATTACGTTACCAAGTGAAACGAACCGAGGCGTTTCTACCGGACGGAAACCAGATCAAATTTCGACGATAATAAAACTCGATGAAATTGCAAATATTTTCATTTGTTTGAACAAGTCTCGAAAAGTAAGCGGCAAAAGAATAGAACTTGGATTCGATTCGATTCGAGTGTATGTACGATATTTAGACGTGATTCGAAAAAACAAGTTTTCCGAAACAATTGACCGCACTCTTGGTTGTATCTTTGCAAGCGATATTTTCATTGGTGCAAACAGCGTTTATAAAAGAATAATCTTGGAAAGATGTAGTATATGTGATAATTATTTAAGAATTTCTTAAAGATTAGGTACTCGAAGACTACTTTTTCTTCGCAATTCGTCGATCGTTAAGGTCAGCGACACGACGAGGTGTAAGACTCTAGTTGATAAAGTTTAAATTAAACGTCGTAGCCTAAGAAAAATTGTTAAGCAGTTAATTAACGGTACGATAAAAGATCGGTTGCGTCCAGCGAAATTGAGAAACTTTTCGTACAATGGAGAGAATTTCATTTTTCTCGGCGATCTTCGGCGTAGTCTTCCTTCCTTTGAATCGTCTCTTCGAAGACCCGTCCAAGATTTTCGCCGCGAAAATAATTTACGTCTGCGCGTGATTTGTCACAAACTTGTCCGAAAAACCCATCGTTCCCTCCTATAACGATTCGACAAGTTGGCTTGCGTACTCGGCAGCCCAACGCAAACACTGAAAGCGTGGAAGGGTTGACTAGATTGCACCATACAAAATTCTCCAGAGATTCGATCGGAAAAAACGGAAAGAGGGCACACGAGACTATTCCAAGAGTGACGTCGCCGACGCCGTCGCCGTCGCCGTCGCCGTCGCCGTCGCCGTCGCGTCGGTGGAAGCATAAGCATACGGAAACGAAAACGAAAACGAAAAGAAACGAAATAGGATCGGTCGGATCGCACGGTCGTAGTCGATACGATTGCGAACGTACGCGGTTCAAGATACGCGCGGATCGATCAAATGTTGGCCAATCAGCTGTGAGCACGGTATACGAATTTGTCGCGGAGATAAAAAGCGCGAACGCATTGTTGGAAAAGCGCCATGTAACGCCACCATCCTTGCTTTCCGCGATTCTCCACAAAAAAGATACTCGCTGACCGATGATGTATCTGCATATCTCTAGCCGCCCGCTCAACCACCCCTTTTTTCCCTATTTACGTTTTCCAAGGTATTTTTCGATTGTACGTGAACTACCTTTTCGACAGATTTCATTTTCTTGACCGTCTGTAGGATAAGTAGTGCTACCGGGTTGACGTATAATATAGTATATTGTAGTACAGTACAGTATAGTATAGTATAGTATAGTATAGTATAGACATTAACAATTGACAATCCTGAAACTAAGAATGAAACAATAAAAAAATCAAAGATCCAATGCCATTTTTCTCTTTTTCTCGAGTATTGCGAACAATGATAGTGTATTACTTTAGCCTTTTTGTTAAAATACTAAAATCGTGCAATGCGTAATAAGGCGATACTTTCGAGCTCGGTAACTTTACCGACTTCGGAGGCTAACTCGAGTATGATTCTCAGAGTCACCGTTCTCAAACGTAGAGTGCGCAACAAAACCTACCGCACCCACCATTTCTCGCCAAGTCGATATTTCAGTTTTTGCGATATAACTTGAATAAATGTTGGCTCTATATCGTAGCTCGTCCGCAGTGTTACGTCTACAATAGATTACCAGCGTTCGCCGGATTGTTGTATCGAGTATCGGAATGCTATCATATTATTTTCCAATTCGATGACATGATCCACTCAATTCGACTCGACTCGACGCCGACGCCAACGCCGAACGTTCTCGCCCCCTAATCTGTCTCTGATTTGCGAGTTTACGACCAGAGAGAACGACGAATGTCTTTGAGAATATTCGAACGTTGAGGTAACAGGATAACTAGGCAGTTACCATGAGGCGAGGAATGACCAATCGAGGAGGGTTGCATCGCTCCTTTTCGCGCTGCCCGTCTATCGAGCTGGAAAATTCGGTGAGGTCGGATTAATCCGGGAGCCAGGGATTACCGGCTAGATCCGCCGTTTAGATTACAGGGTTAAACTCGCGCGTAACTGTTCTCTTCGTACCCGCCGCGCGTCGTCCTTTTAACGATAGTCTTTTACAAAGCGAACATACGAACATACAAATATATGATATTATGTATTAAACGCGATACCCTGCACACGCGGTATTTTCTCGTTCTACGTTCTACCATCTTATCGTTCTCATTGTCAATTGCGATGGACTGCGAGAAAAGCTGAAAGCTGAAATACGTGGAAAACAAGAAGACGTACCGACTGGGACATCGTTATCGTCCGTTCTTCTTCCAGCCTGTTATCTTTTTCTTACTTACAATTACTTCTCACTTTGGTTCTTTCCGTACTTTTGTCGCTCGTGCCTCGTCACTTTTTTCTTCGCTGCGGACTACTCACCCCTTCCTCTTTCTTCTACCAGTGTTGTTCCTGTTCGCCTACCTCACAGTTATTTACACCTTCTCTGACCCTCGCGTCCCTCCATCCCTCCATCCCTCCAACCCTCCAACCCTCCATCGCTGTGCTCCCTTTTCTGGCCGTGCGCGCGGAAAGCTTAGAGATTGTTTTAATACCCCGATGGGCAGAACTGTGACCCAGTTTCACGACACCGACGGTGAATACATGTACACATAGACGCGACCTAAGCCACGTTTTCACAAGTCAGCCAAAGGCACGTCCGCGGCACGAGACGTGCTACCGTGCTACGTAGCTTGGACGAATCGTGTTGCGTTCGATAATAAAATTAAAGATGCTGGGAAACGATCAACGCGCCAGCTTCCTCCTCAACTCTCGATTTCCTAATCAGTCGCATCTTTTCATCTTCCAAACCAATACCGATTTCTCAAACTTCTGTTCCTTTATTTTTCATAACGTAATTGTTACACGACGCGACGGTGATGTACGTAACATTTGTATATTTCCTTTAGAACTTGAACGGGTTGTACGCATAAGAAATCTCTCTAGACTCTAGAGAAAAGGCACGCTATGCAAAATCTGTAAACCAGAAATGGAAAATTCCTCGATAGAAGGACAATTTATTGTGGCGTTTATTTCGTATCGAACGCTTACCTCTGGATGATATTTAACGTAACATTTGACGATTTGGAAGGCTTTGTCGCAATGATCGGTCCCAGCTGAAAGCAAAGAGGTATCCTTGTTGAAAGGTAAATCCGAAAGTGTATAGCTCGACGAGCAAAAAAAGATCTCCGAAGAAAAGGAAGAGGAACAGGAACAGAAACCGGTACCGGTACCGCTCTTATCGTTAGCGAGTTATTATGTATATCGTATGGACTCACGGATAGATTTGCATTCGTTGAATAACTTTTTAGAAGAGTGTTGCAAACTTCGAGGAAGATGCCGTAACGCTCTCTGCACGTCAATCTCCGCGTTTCCGTCCAAAATACCGTTTCTCGCCATAAAGCACTTCAAGTAGCACTTCAATCTTGGGTCATTTTGCTCAAAGTCACCAGACTTCATCCTTCTTAACGCGACTAAAAGTATTTAACAGAGAAAAAGAGTATATCGTTTCCGTTGATCCTTGTAACGTAATCGTTACGGTGGCTGATTGCCTGATATATGTATAGTGTGATAGAGTACCCCATGAAACTCCCGTCTCTTTCCGGCAATCCCTTCTGATGTCGGTTACGACCGGCTCCTGACCGGAACAACAACCTTTGTAATAGTTTCGGACAGACTATCTTATCGCTAGTTAAATTGTTCGTAGAAACGCTTACCAGCAGGATTAAGATGGCCGTTAGGACCCAAAAGAACGAACGATACCCAAACATACTTCTCTAAACTTCGATTCACGACTCGCGAACAAAGTGCTCGCACTCGGTCACGTTTCAAAGGTACTGGTGCGGTGCTGAGATCGGTAGTAAATAGCAATTTAGAAGAAACGAATCGATCGGATCTTTATTGGCCTGATAGCTAATCGTTGTTCGACCGTTTGCGTTCACGTCAAGATTAAACCAATCAAAACAAACAACAGACTCATAGCATTTCGATAAACGATCGCAAAAGTAAAAAACGTCGGCGTGGTTTGCGTTCGCATGTTTGCATCGGCGAGTGGTCGGCTGGTCGCGTCGCGTCACGTCTCGTACATTGTAAGTATATGTACTATGTAGCCGTATCGCCGGCCGGCGCGAGCGGCGCCGTTTGATATTTCTATAGTTCGATCGGATCGAATCGACACTTTTTCTTGTTAGCTGTTAGCTGTTGGTTTAGTTTAGTGCTCGATCGGCTGCTAACCGATGCTGAAGCTTTGCGTGTACCAATGTACTTTGGAGAACGGTAGAAGCGTAGTCGAGAGAGCAATTCAAGTAGTCCAGTCGCAGTCCTTTCCATGAGAGTAATCAACATTTTTCGAGAAAAAGTCACGCGCAACGAGAAAGCAAATTGGACGAGGAAACAAGTGCAACAGCTTACGTCGAAGCAAGCTTTTTCGTGCAACGCTCGTCAAGCGATAATTCTAAAAATACGACCACGTTTACGATACCTACAACGACATGCTATGGTTCGTTATGCTATGGTATGGACTCTGTTGTATCCGATGCACGTGGAATACGTGGATGCATGCGCTATACCGGTAGGCCGAGTAAAATGAACGCTAGGAATGTCAGGATAAATCGACATCGCAACAAGATGAAAAACTGCGTGTTGTATCGTTTGTTAGCTGATGTTACATCGACGCAAACGTCGGCGATAATTAGAGAAACGTTGGCGAGAGTGGCGAGACGAGTCGAAAATCGGAAGAAACAAACGGGTGAGTAACCGAGGATTATTCGAAAATTAGAAACTTTATAGCTTCTAAAAAGGTGGTCCATGTTCTCATAAAAAATGTGTCTTTACACGTAAGATGTACCTTTCCATTTAATTTCGTGTTAATCGGGAAAAACTATTCTTGATCATTCTTGGGGAAAGTTGGATAAAGTTAGCGGTGTATTGTGTATGGTCTCTGTCTCTTTGTCCGTTGGTCGTATCGACGCACGTCGCACGTCGCATCAAACTTTTCGCGCATCGTTAGCTTGATTTTAGATTCTAGAACTGTAAAAGTGTCCCGACCCGATCCGAGTCCCGAATCCCGACTTGGTTTTAAATCGACTCTCCACACTCAACATGCTGCACACTTGTCGTGTGCGTAGTATTCTGCGCAATGCACAAGTCGGAAACAAGCGCAAGCCCGCAAGCCAGCGACGTTCATGGATGCAACCTTTGCGTTTGTCACGCTACACTGAATTAACTAAAGGAATAATCGTATCAATCGCTAACTAGCGTCACGCAATCCACGCGCGATATACACCGTGTAAATTGTTTTCTTGAAAGATTTCGATGGAACGTGCAAAGAATTTGGTTATGTGTTCGATCTTTGAAAAAACAGCAGTGGCGCTGCTTGTATCGCAACGCAAGTACAATTAAAATCAATGTAACAGTTCAGTGTTTCGGCACGGAATTTTCTTCGTTGCACTTTTCAACGCGTTTGCTTGGACGAGAAATGTCGAACGGTATGACCGTGTTAAACAATGATAAGGAGACCACCAACGAGACAAGTATGAAGTATACTATTCGCATATCGATTTTCTTATTCAAACATTCAATATATATGTTTTCGTTACACTCTCGTGGTTTCTTTTATTCTTAAGACTGCAACGCGGAGGAAATACAGGAGGGTCACTTGACCGGGGTGAGTTTTGGTTATATGTATTCTTGGATCTGGAACATTTTCCTTTCTTTCTATACCTGTTATTCTATACTTGTTATCCTCTTCGCAGATGGAACAAGCGAATCCAAGGACCACGCAGAAGAGACCTGCCGAATCGGATCCCGAAGGTCAGTGTCTGGTTGCACGATTGGATTCTATCCGATGCTATGAAACGATGCTTAGACATTAAGTGTGCACATATTAAAATTGATTTTTTAGTAGAAACAAGCAGAACATTGGTCACCTTAAAAGTCTTCCGAGTCCAAGGTTTTTCAACCTACGGAGAATCTGTAGCGGACCTTCGAAGAAATTGATCTGTGTTTCTTATTTTTTACCAGGTACCATCAGTCCCAAGAAACGTCACAAGAACCCACAGCCCAAGAACGCGGTATGCGCTTTGAACGAATTAAAAACTGGCGCTGTATACAAAGTTGTCGACCAAACTGGTCCGACTCATGCTCCAATATTCACGATAGCTGTGCAAATAGATGGACAAACTTACGAAGGCAAAGGTCGAACCAAAAAAATGGCTAAACATGCCGCAGCTGAACTCGCTCTGAGGAATATTATCCAATTCAGAAATACGCCAGAAGTTCATCAGGCGATCAACACTTGCCAACTTTCGTTGCCTCTCGAACCAGACTTTACCAGTGACGTTACGGAACGTGATAATCACCTTGTTAATGCATTCAAAACGTTAACTCAAGAACCGAAAAGCACAAATAAATTTTTAGAGAAAGGCCCTGTGGCGCTTATTAACGAATTGTACCCTGGTGTTGTATATAAGTGTTTGTCCGACAATGGTGAAAGTTACGCAAAATTCACAATATCGGTGACTATCGACGGAGAAACATTCGAGGGAACCGGTCCGAGTAAAAAATTAGCGAAAGCTGCTGCGAGTAAAGCAGCTTTGGCTAAGCTAAGAAACGTTCACAGTTCTTCCTTTTGCATTCCACTTCCCGTTCGCGTACTACCAAACTTTTCCAATAGCGGACATTGGCAGGACCAGATGCAACTGCCCCAAATGTTAGCCGATAAAATTGGGAAAATGGTGAATCAGAAATTTAGCGAACTTATTCAATCTAAGCCGCAGCACGCTCGACGTAAGGTTCTAGCTGGTATCGTTCAAACCAAAGGTTCAGAAGCCGAACTGATATGCGTAACAACCGGTGAGAGATCATTCTTTTTATACGTCCCTGTATTTCTGCGCTATATATACATTTATCCAGAGATTGTTTTTTTTTTCTTTTTTTGCCCCCTTCTCTTTTTCGTTCTTTTAAACGAAAGGTACGAAATGTGTATCCGGAGAACATTTAAGCGTCAGCGGTGGTGCTCTGAACGATTGTCACGCAGAAGTGGTCGCGCGAAGATGTTTGTGCGAGTACTTGTACAAACAACTGGAACTTTACGCAGAAACTCGAGCCGCTGATTCTATTCTAGAACCCGCTGTAAAAGGATTCAGGCTCAGACAAGGCATTCAATTTCATTTATACATAAATACCGCTCCGTGCGGTGATGCTAGAATTTTTTCGCCTCACGAAGAAAACGAGTCTGTCGACAAGCATCCCAATCGAAGAGCGAGAGGTCAATTGAGAACTAAAATCGAATCCGGAGAAGGAACGATCCCCGTGAAAAGCAGCGAGGGTATCCAAACGTGGGACGGTGTTCTTATGGTACGTGGTTCATGTTGTACGCTGAAAGAAATGTATTCCGTCCTATTCAAACTTTAGCGTATGAACGTTTCTTTGAATTTATAGGGCCAAAGACTGCTGACGATGTCGTGTTCGGACAAAATAGCTCGGTGGAACGTACTTGGTGTGCAAGGTGCACTTCTAAGCCACTTCATCGAGCCAATTTACTTCCACAGCATCGTTCTTGGCAGTCTATTGAACCCAAGTCACATGTACAGAGCGGTTTGTGGACGTATCGAAAACACGATTCAAGGTCTACCGCCACCGTACAGACTTAACAAGCCGCTAATGAGTCTCATCACATCTTCGGAAGTTAGACAACCTGGAAAGGCGCCTAACTATAGCGTTAATTGGACAATCGGTACGAGAGAGCTGCTCCGAGACGCGGTTAGTCCAATTGGGCTACCGACTCGATATTCTAAATATTTCATCTGTTCTCAGGTCAAACGGAGGCTGAAGTAATCAACTGTACCACGGGAAAAGATGAATTGGGTAAACCGTCCAGAATATCGAAGCAAGGACTCTTCAGAAGATTTTACAATTTGCTAGGTAAACTCGGTACGATAGACGACGCTGATAAGAATCGGTGCCGTCATTATTTGGACGCGAAATCTTCGGTGCAAAATTACTCGGTAAGTCCAGATATATACATTTTCAGATTTACGCACTGCTCGGGATCCTTGGTTCGTCGTTATTGTGTTAACAAATTTTTCTGTGCGATAGCTTGCTAAGCACCAATTGAAGGAGGCTTTCGTAAAGGCGCGCCTTGGCAGTTGGGTTAAAAAACCGATCGAACAAGATATGTTTGAGGTAGATATCTGACTAAATCAGACTACCGATAAAATCTCGACTCAGGATATGGAGATTCGGATGACAGATTATGTAGTTCCTACTGCAAACTAGATCGCTCGATCAGGGTGGCACAGTATGGCAGAATACGGCATCAGTAAAGCATAAATCGTAGGATCTCGTGCGCGTTTTTCTTCGGTTTTCCGTTCTGCGACAGGTTCAGAGTACATAATAGACACGAGCTTCGCAAACGGGCTCTCACGTTCTCGAGCCGTCGAAGGTTTTACGATTCCAACAGTTGCTCAGTTTTAACATAGGGTAACCAAGTGACACGTTTCGATACTTGGAATTTTAATCTTAATCGTTATAGCGTAACGTCAATTTCGACAGTTTTTAGAGACTGATAGTAAACACGAATCGCATCGAAACGACGCGACGGTTTCGTTTCGCAGAAGGAGAGAGGTTGTACGTAGCGATTGGGAAATTTACGTCATCTTATCGTATCCGAGACCCGTTTTTACGAAAGGACGATTCAGCACATATCCGTACGTCAGTCTTCTTGTTATCGGGAAATTTTCTTCTAACGGGTATTTTAACGTGAAACGATGAACGACTTTGGGCTACTTTGAGTCGCTTATACACAACAAGAAACGAAAGGGTCGTAAACTGAAAAACATCTCGAGATTTTACTCGTGCCTGCAGTATTTTTCCTTAGACGTTAGACGTTAGACGTTAGACGTTAGACGTTAGACGTTAGATATATATGTATATATATCAGTGATATATATATGTGTGTCATATATATGTCAGTGATAATACAAGTATCGCGTTACATCCTGGAAGGCTGTGACCGAGTATAGAAAATCATCGACGTGCAGATTTTCATGTGCTTTGTTGAAGAATTCGCCGAAACGGAACAGAAATCGAGACAAGTTTCTTGTTGATACGGCGAATTTTTTCTTGTCCCCGTTATAATTTCCAACGTAGAGCGTGTTTCGGGAAAAGGGTTTAAAACTTTTTGGTAGAGTTAATTCGTTCCGCGGTATATAGTTCGTAATCGTACGAACAATGCGCCGACCACGATAGATTTGTCGTTGCTTGTATCTCGATACAAGTGTTTGTTTTGAAATGTGTATGTTTATCAAGTTAACGTTTAGTGAGTACCATATCGCTTGCTTCGGTTAACTGTACAAACTCTGAACGTTTTGTAACCTTCTTTTTGAAACGCCTTGTATACCTATTCGAGTTGTTTCTTACGGGGCTAGAGAAATTTTCTTGTTAGTTTTAATTTTCTTTTTTTACGTGTATATATATAGTAATTACATATAGTAATTGTTGACAAAGAAATGGTCGACAGTTGAGTGTTATCGCCATTGGGTTTTCATAGAGAGTAATCGAGAAAGAGAGAAAGATGCGTGAGTAACGAATGTTGGCAGTAGATATACGAATGGATTATACGAGTCAATAAGTAAACGTTTAAGTACATTACGATAAATAGTTTAGAGAATCCTAAGATGATTGCCTCACTGTGCCAGTATTATATACATATACATATACATATACATATGTTACTAATGCAATTCTGCCGTAGTGACACACTGCCCGGTGTCGGTCCAGTTTTGCGTGAGAAACTTGACCGCTATGCACGAAATGAATTTCGTTCGAAAAGTATTATACACGCATTTAGCGGAAGCGATCGCTTTTGCACGTGATGCGTAAGTCGAAAAATGTGATTACGTTGAGTTAATACAAACACCGGGCGTTATTTACTTACGTTTATTTGTTTTACGCGATGGTCCAAAGAGTACGAAAATATTTGTGCCAATGGAAGTAATGCCAATGATTTAACCTTCGGATCTATCGATAGCCGTTTGCGCGGTAGATACAGGGTCTAGTCGGACCCATAATAAAGTTTCATTCAAATTTCAAATACGTTGTTAGCTCGACCATTGTATCGTCCTGTATACTGAAAATGAGAAGGGTTAAGAAAGCGCGGGAGCAGAGAATGATGGAAAAAAGAAACGACTGGTATGCACGAATGGACCCGGTATTTGCCAAGCGAAGATCAACCGACCGCGACGGTTCGCTTATTTTCTCCGAGCCTACGATGAAAGTTTGCTTTAATTTATCCTCAAATGTCATTACCAATCGATTTTTGTTCTCGAGCTTTGGTAACGAACAAACGAGTCTTTTAACGATGACATTTATGCCATGATCGCCTTTTTATCGCTTGCTTTTTGCCTTTCACATATATTACACATATTAATTCTATCTCTGCAAACACACCAAAGTTACGTACATTGTATTTACCAACTTTCCAATGATAACGAACGTTTGAGAAATAACTTGACGATAAGTAATAATAGTAGTAATAATAATAATAATAATAATAATAATAATAATAATAATAATAATAATAATAATAATAATAACAACAACAACAACAACTTGACAATTATTTTTCACGTTACGGTAATATTTTGCCGCCGTGCCTGGAACTAGGCGCGCATTTGAATAATTAATACATATATGTAGATATACATGTACGGTAAGCAAACGAGAGAAACAGATCGTCAGTAGTGTACGCGTTAGGACAAGTAACAGACTTGAATACGCGTGCTTTGATTTCTTTTTTCACACCGTTCAATCAATCTAGCGAATTCGGAACGAAATCAGTATTTTAGTTTTTTAGAATATAACGTTCTTATTGAGTAGAAAGCAAAGGGACGAGAGATACTGGTGTCTTTTTTTTTTTTTTTTTTTTTTTTAAATTCTTCCTTAAATCTTGTCGTAATTTTGAACATGTTCACTGTGGTGGTATTTTTCGCCAACTATTATATTCGATACACAGATCTATGAGATTTACGGAAATGTAAACTTTTCACTTTACATTTGAAAATTTCGATATAGATGATAGAAAAATGATCGAGATATCTTGTTAACATACGACAAAGGTTGAACCAAGTAATTGAAGAACGATATACGATACAATGCCGTGCCGCAGTGAACGTGTTAACAATCATGTCGCGTACACATTTTCTATATACTATTCATACGTATATAATATATCATATGATACACACCGATTGGTACCGATAGTAAAACCACTTAATGGTCAGTGATCAAAACTTGGAGTGAGTATACTTAAGGTACGACGTTTAGTTGTAGTCAAAGCGATTAATTAAGGTACAACGTTATTTCTAGTCCAAACGATTAATTAAGGTACGAAGTTAGTTGTCGATTTCGACGTAACATCACTTTCGATTTTTCCTCCGATTTTACACGGAGAAACATAATACTAGAACATTGAGTATAATTACGAACTTCGTAGTCAGCTAGTATTTAAGCTTGACTAGTGCCTCTAGCTGTAACTATGTCCAAAAGAATAAGTAAAATCGATGAACAAAAGTATAACGGATAATAAACATTTATTTACCAAATGCCGATCTTTGTCTTGAAATCGTTCTTATCGAATTTTAACACCTTTTACCTGCCAACGCATTCGAGTAGATGTAGACGTACGCTGCAACGCGGTTGTTCGTCTAATTATATGTACGTGTAATTTTTAAACGAAAAATAAATCGGGTACTTTCTATATTAAAATAATCTAGGGTTAATTTGCGTACACTATACATACATGTTTCAAAATCCTATTGTGTTTATTTCTTTTTATGGAGTATTGCATAAACTAGTTATAAACTTAACGGAATTATTAAAATGTGTGTGTGTGTGTGTGTGTGAAGGGGAACGAGGTAAAAGTAAAGAAAATTACTATAAAATTACATTTTCTCAATGAAATTGTCCAGAAAAAGTAATTCGCATGCCGATCGATGAATAACAATATCGATAGCAACTTGCATGTGTTGAGTTAGTATGCGAAAGGAAAAGAATTATAGGAAGCGATAGGAAGAAAAATGCTTTTTTTTTTTAACTGTATATTAATGAAGTATACCGTTACTGTATATTATCTTCCCTCTGATAATTATCTATTGATAGCATTGTACCTATAGTACAGCTATATCGTTATCGCGCTTCGCACATGAATCCTTCGACACACCTATCCACGAATACACTGAAATTTGTTCGTCGATACGTAGCTTGGACGACTGAATTCTGTTCAAAACTACGTTTACTTCAGTCTTGTAAAATCGTACTAAAAACGCAGCTCGCGCGCTCGCGTGTGTGTGTATGTGTATTTATGCGTAAAATGAAACCATTGTCATGGATCGTAGAGCACCATGACAAGGATTTTGCGTGTTCATCGCCGGAAAGATTTATCGTTTATTCAACTCTGTAGCTATCCGATCTCGCATTGACTCTTTATCAAGAATCGTTATCGGTCGTTCTACCGACGCGACGATCCCACCGAGCGACACGAAGCGACCACGTGCAAAGCACGTTCTTCTTCGAGTGTAACATCGATTTCTTGACTTTTTTGTTATTAAACTTAATTTCTATATGATATGTATCGAGTTTGCTGAATGTCTGTAGTCGTGCGTTTTTCACACGTGTCCTCTTCGATTATCGAGTATATCAGGAAACGCGTAGATCTGAGTGAAAGGTATACCGTTTGGAAAGAATGTCATCCGAACTAATTAAACTTTAAGTAAAATGAAATTTCACGGTATGGTCTTTGATCGTTCTCGATCAGTTCCGGCCGAACTGCTGATTATTTCGCACCTGCTACGTTACGAATGTTACAATTCAATGGCGACGTTCGATTCTACCATGTTTGGAATACCTTTTTAAACGATCTGTAAATAATAGTTTTCCGGTTGGTATACGTGTTAGGGAAGACTTTGAGTAAACATCACCGTCGTCCAAGTGTTGTCTCTTAATTGGTTCAAGTTCTCTTGATCGAACGACGAATTGCGAACCACGTGGAAAAATGTAAAAAAGCAAGTATCACTGATAATTTCATTGCATTTATTTCGAGCACGCCTTTCACCAGGTGAGACGCGTAATCAATCTAATAGCAGGAGAATAGCGAAACTGTAGAGAACTTGGGAAATTAAAAAATTTTCCAAGGAATAAATAACTAATTTGAAGCGTTCGATGTGCCTTTTCGGTAGTCTATAACCATCTATCGCGATACAACGATAAATAATCGATCGATAAATATTTCTGGTATTACTTGTTTATCTGTATTTTCATCGGAATGTGTTCCAAACGATGCCTGAACCGCGTAGATGGACACTGGACTAGAAAACGCTAAGTACAACTCTTCGATTACCTTTATTCTCTGATTGACTCTAGTCAATTTCGGTGGAAGGTGTCCTCGAAAAGTAATACCTCCCGTAGGGGTGGGTTTCGCGCGGAATGCTCTCTCTTTCTCTCTGTGTGTATCTCGACGCGTACAGACTTGCAGTTAATATTGCAATCGGTACTGTTTGAACGGTAACGGTAACGGTAACGGTAACGGTAACGGTAACGATAACGATAACGATAACGCTAGACTAGGCTTAACTTTAACTGCGACAATGTATGTAAGTAGAACGTTACATCTAGCTTGTGCCACGGAAAACAAAAGTTAAGTTGGTTTTATCCTGCTTTGCGACGCGAGACGACGAAAAGAACCAAGTTGTCCGCATGCTAGTCTGTGATAATTGATCGAATTTTTACGATTTACGATCACTCTACCGAGTATATATATACATATATGTATATTCGCGAATCGTCCAGACATTTGGATCTTTTCGATTAATTGGAC